ATTTCACATTTATCGTGTTAATATTGTTTACTTGTGTCTGAAAGTTACCAGTTTTTATTACCAGTTATTATTGCATATGCAGGATTAAGTTTATAAACTTTTATTTTTCACTTTTAAAAAATATTCGATTTTATCTACCCATTAAAAATGATTCTATTTTATCGCTAAATATTAACTTTAAATTACCCCCCCCCCCCCCCCATTTAATACTAGCATTATTTAATTTATTAAGAACACCATCATGTAATGGCAAAATATTGAAATTATTTAATAACTTCATTTTTTAAATATAAAGACATACATTGTCATTACCGGTATTATAATCAATATCTTTAACGAATAAGTCCGACTTTGTTATTTGAGGGTTGTCCAAGAAAAAACACAAACTTTGTACATTAGATTTGTATAATAAATATCTGACCAAAATTATTCAAAATCTTCATGCACTTTACTATCTATTATTGCTAAAAAGTGTGCATATTTTCCACCAGAACTTAAAAGTAAAGAAGGAAGAATTTTCCAGAGTCGATATTATCGTAATCCTAAATTTCTGGAACGACCATTTGATTCGGGAAGGGGAGAGGGAATTTTTTTTTTCCGAGTCAGGGTCAGATTATTTATTGTCATGTCGGTGAAGGCCGGATTATCTATTTCCAATGGCAGACTATTTATTCTCCGCTTCACTGAAAAAGTCCAACAAGCCAAAAAAAAAAAGGAAACACCGTCAACAACCCAAGATTATTGTGGGGATGGGGTGGGGGCATATTATTTATTTTCTTCCAGTTGAGGAAAGATCATTTATTTTCAAACTGACTCAACTCCTTTATCAGCCAGACATCACATTCAGAATCAAATGATCGCCCCCCCTTAAAGATAGGTACTAAAAGCATGTCTTGACAGTGTCGGATGAGTTTTAAATATTATTGCTGATTTAATAAAATTATAACATTACAAATTGAATTAAAAGTCGTTGTTGTAATTTATCCTTTACCCAGATTTGCAGTCGCAATGTGCTTCTGTCTTCGTCGCGTAGATGATTACAGTATGAGGGAACTCGAACTTGATCATGCTTCGATAAACTTTCCGAGAAAGGCATATGGAGAAATGACGCGCAGTTTATTCATGAGGTTGCTCCCACATGATTTACTTCACATAAATATTCATAAGATCTTGCAAAAACTTAAATTATACCATTTCTTATTTTTTTAATATAAAAACATGCAAGACTTTTTTTTTTAATTTGAATTTCTTTAAGCAAATGACATATCTAATTGGGTAGAACTTAGCGTTATCGTCAGTTGGCAATTAATGATACCGTATGTTTCAATAATTAGTAGGTCAGGCAAATGCAAAAAATTACTGTTTTTTAAGGAATCACTGTCTAGTTTTGAGAGTATGCCAGGGCATCAACAATAGTGGGAAACATGGGATAATTTGCATAACGGGCGAAGCCCGTTATGCAAAAATTATCCCATGTTTCCCACTATTGTTGATGTCCCTGGCATACTCTCATAACTAGACAGTGATTCCTTATATTTCCATTTCATTGTGAAATAAAATTGTTGATTTAGACTTTAAAAATGCAGACATAGATTTAAATTACACGAGGATCCCATCCCAATTTTAGTAGGCCTCGCCGAACACAACAGCAGCCGCACGAAATTTTCTTGCATATTTGGCCTCCTTAGCGTCAGACTCAGAGACAGATGCGCACGAGATTTTCATGCATACTAGGCCTCCATAGCTCCTGACCTATCGACCTGCCTAATTTACATTCCGGCAGAATTATCAGGAAATCAACTCCGCTTACTTTCAAAGGGTTATCATAGAGAAAAAAAATTAGAAATGGAAATATTTAAACTTAAAAGGCGGTCGTAACTCTTCATACAATTTTATAACAGCAATATTTTCTAAATATAGACCTTCATTGGCACCTATTAATCGGCGGAAGAACTCTGTCATCATGCAATAAACACTTACATTTAATCACTTAAAACACTTATTCAGTTCTCTTTTCTTCATTAAAACAATGTACTCTCGCTTCGAATTTTCAAATCAAAAAGGCGGTCGCAACTTTCACTTTGGCATCAACATCATTGTTATTTCCGGTAGAGGATATAAAGAAAAAACAAAAGATCGGCGGAAGAGCTTTATCCGAAATAGTTAGAATATAAAAATTGGCAATTTTTTGTAAGTTCTCTATATAATCCTTTATAGAATATGCCGCCATTATAGCTCCAATATGGCGAATATGTAATGAACACCATTTCTCCATATGGGATAATACGGAATCATTTTTGAATATTTCAAGTGAATGAAATATAGGAAAGCTTTTGTAAAAGAATTTGCCCTTTGTTTTGTCTCAATGTGGGTTCGTATGGCAAATATTTTGCAGCAAAATCATCAGGAACTTCGGACAAATCAACCGGCGTCGACTTATACTGAGTTACTACCTATGTTGATGATGTCGGAGCATCGTAGGAGTTATCTCCCATAGCGCGATGGGCGGAGTTTGGCGATACGTTAATTGGTTTCTGTACCAAAGTGAAGGCACAAGCCAGTTGGCTGTACTGCCCCCTTGTATCTCAACTTAATGGTCATAAGTTATCAGATATCATATTGATAAAATAAAACAGATTGCCTTTCTTTTGGCAACACTATTATTATTTTCTAACAGAACATCATTTATCAATAATGCTTGTATAATTCTTTAGTCAATTGACCAATTAATTACAATATTTACATTGATTATCTATTATAATATAAACAAGTAACGGGAGGTAACTCCTCCAACCATTTCACTACTACGTGAGAGTCGAAGTAGTTTTTTACATTTCATGTTTCCTTATGTCAGAATGGTTTAATCAAACGCTCAGCTGCCTCCATAAACCCCTACTCGCGAAATGGCGGAGTTGACAGAGACAGCCGCCATTTTGGACCCGCTTCAGATTTTTGAATGCAAATATCTAGACTTTAGATTTATCAACATTCAAACAAATTAAATAGTAAGCATTATAAGGAGAGCTTCTATTACCATACCAAATAAAAATGAAAAATACTGAAAAACAAAAAAGTTAGAAAATACGATTTTTTAAAATTTGCATCTCGTAACGACCGGAAGTACTGATGACGCACGAAAAGGCGATTCTGCAATCCACAAAGTCATGATCTATCATCTCCAATATGTCTCCAGTTCATATCCTTAGCCATTTTCGATAAAAGTGCGCGACAAAATCGCATTTTAAAATCAGGAAATTGTCCATAACTTGGCACCAGAAGCGAATTTTCCAAACTACTCTTCGGATGTAACAACTTCATATAATGACGCATATTTTGTGAAAGTTTCATGAAAAACCACTGAATAGTTTTCGAGAAATCGCCTGCACAAAATTTTGTCAAAAAAAATAATAATAATAAGAATAATAAGAAACAGTAGAATCACTATAAGGTCTTCCGTGAAGACGGAAGACCTTAATAAAAAACAGAGTAAAAACAATATGTTCCCTAACTTCGTTTGGGGAACATAATAAAGACTCAGTTTAGGAAGCTGGAGATTTAGGGCCATCACTGTTCCAGGTAACCAGCATAGTAAAATAATTACTGGGTCCGATTTAGTAGATAAAATCACAGAAATTAAGTACTGAGTATTGATGAAGCTGATAGGAAGCCCATAGTGTTCAACTGAGGTCAAAACAAAATAATTTCAATATGCGCTATAATTATCATGATTATGACGGCTATGTTATAGTAATGGCAATGTTTTGTCTTGTGATTTCGTCATTTCCCGCACCTCAGATCTCCAGATTTCCGCATTATTCCGCATTTTTTCCTCATTTTAATATGGAAAAAATGTGGAAAAAAATACGGAGAAAATTAACAATATGGAAAAGCAGAAAATATATAGAAAATATACGGAAATAATACGGAAAATAAACGGAAATAATACGGAGAATTGGACTTAGTCTATTTTTCATCTGGAAAAATATTGAACTCTTAACTTAGAATATTTTTCATCCGGAAAAAATACGGAGCTCTGGACTTAGAATTTTTTCATCAAGAACAAGATGTGTTTGTGAGACAGCAGTAGCACCTGGCGGCAACATTAAGTTCTAAAAAGCAATTTTTAGCAAATGGGTCTCAGTCAAGGTCACACAATCATTGTTCTTGGTGTCATATGAAAGCACTTTATTAGTGTAGTATGCATACCAAATATTAAGTCTCTATCATCTATGGTTCAAAAGTTATGGCGAAAATTTGAAAAAGCTATATTTAGCACATAGGTCACAGTCAAGGTCACAAGGTCATTGATCTTGGTGTCAGTTGAAGGTGCCTAATTAGTGGAGTATGCATACCAAATATGAAGTCTCTATCTCTCACGGTTTTAAAGTTATGGCGAAAGTTCGAAAAAGCTATTTTTAGCATATAGGTCACAGTCAAGGTCACTGACCTTGGTGTCAGTTGAAAGTGCCTAATTAGTGGAGTATGCATACCAAATTTAATATGAAGTCTCTATCTCTCACCGTTCAGAATTTATGGCGAAAGTTCCAAAAAGCTATTTTTAGCATAAAGGTCACAGTCATGGTCACAAGGTCATTGACCTTGGTGTCAGTTGAAAGTGCCTAATTAGTGGAGTATGCATATCAAATATGAAGTCTCTATCTCTCACGGTTCAGAAGTTATGGCGAAAGTTCGAAAAAGCTATTTTTAGCATAAAGGTCACAATCAAGGTCATAAGGTCATTGACCTTGGTGTCAGTTGAAAGTGTTTTTGTAGTGAAGTATCCATACCAAATATGAAGTCTCTAAGTCTCACGGTTCAAAAGTTATGGCATAGGTTAAAGTTGACAACAGACAAACAAACAGACAGACATACAGCTAAACAGACAGACAGGACAAAAACAATATGCGCCCCGAAAAAATTTGGGTGCATAAAAACTGTCTTGGAGTTAACAGCAGTTCTCTGTTTCTCCTGAATGTTATGAACAATTTGATCGGGATCGGAAGAATGTTTCAAAAAGTCGGGCTCAGTGATCAATTAATTTAAACAACAGACCGCCAAAATTTAACCTTGGCCTCCATGTTGCAACGTCTGCTCTGTCTAAAGGAGGAAGTTTGTTGACCAGACAGCCTGAGATCGTATTGCTGTATCAACCAAAAGATGCAGATACACGTATTTCATATGCGGTAGGTCAGTCATATTTTTTTTAACATGTGTGTCACTGTGATGATGAAAATAAATACTCTAGGCGGCTAGGGCCTAGGACTGAGCTACCAGGCTACATACGTTTCAGCCAATATATGCCCATGATTCAAATCTTTCAATCAGCTCATAGAATTTTATTATGGTTAACCACAATTAAAGGTGTTAATTTTGGGGAGCCATGGGCTGTAATCTCTAGCAATGATTTACCATACATTTTTTTTTTTGGTAGCGTCTGTGCATGAGGAGATTTCTGAAAAAGAATAAGTGCTTGTTCAACTTACTGCGATTTTAACGGGCTTAAAGCTTGGTCCATGGATGGTTATGTTTGAGGTATATATATTCTTTTTTTTCTTTTTTTATTGCTTGTTTAATAATTAAAAACAGTCAACTATGATTGTCATTATTATAAATATTTTAAACAAATTGATATTAAATTGAAGAACCCAAACTTGTGTTTATAAAAAGATTTTAAAAGGAATAAAAGCAATGAATTTAAATTTTATTAATATTGCACCATTATAATTTAAGTACTTTTTTTTTAATTGATAGGATTTGCCAATTCGACCGCAAGTGCTGCTGCAAGAAATTAAACATGCAGAGACCTTACAAATTACAAAGAAGTCTGAAGAAAATTTTTATTGGACAGATGGGTGTAAAGCACAGACCTGAGATATAAATTGAATTGTGAGAAATATGAATCAGGGATGCAGGTAGAAAATGGCAAATGTGATCCAGATTGATAAAAAATGTCTAAAAATTTTTCTTGTTTTGTAAATATTCAATGCTATGTCAATTGTTATTTTTTCCCCAATATCTAATAGTGTTGAACATTTCACTCCCACTTTTGCTTAAATAGAATGAATAAATTTCCATTTATTTAATATGAATATTAAAAAATGCCACATTTTTTCCATGATGAACTTGTGGCTTAAATAAGTTTTTTTTCCATACATGCTCCTATTTGTTTGTCAAAGATATAAGATCCAATACATTGCTCATGAACATAATGTGTAATTTTGTTCATTCATTTATATGTTTTTTTTCTCATAATGATATAATAAATTGTATATAATTTTGCACATTGTTGATGGTTTTGTAAATATTTATGTATGTATGCATCATGTAGCGGTTTTATTAGCCATTTTATAACCATGTGATTAACTCCGTATTTTCTCCAGATTTCCATATTTCCGCATTTTATCAACCAAGTAAATACCTTCATATTTTGTATATATGGAAATGCGGAAATCTGGAGAGAATACGGAAAAAGAGTCCAAATACTTCCATCCACATTTTCTCCATATTTTGAATACGGAGAAAATCTGGAAATTTGAATCTACGAAAATCTGGAATGAATGCGGAAAATTAGTCCAAATACTCCCGTCCGCATTTTTTCCTTATTTTGAATAAGGAAAAAATGTGGAGATCTGAGGTGCGGGTTAGACATTTATGATGAAGTTTCCGGAGGAAAATTAAGACTGCAATGATGTCTGAAGTTTTAAAAGCCTGTAATATCATTACATGTAGTATTTGTCATGCAATGTGTAATTGTTTCTAAATGCTTTACCAAATGATAAAATCAATTTCTTATCTGCATCATACAGACCCTTGATTGTCTGTAGAAATATCTCTCCAGCGATTTCCATGAACCTCCGTTATTTTTATTCTGGATACAAATTTTCTATAATGTTTCAGGCAGTAACCAGCTCTTGGTATTGACTTTTAAGAAATAGCCCCAATTTGGTCGTTCTCAATAGGTGTTCAAGCTCGGTATTATTTTTTATCCAGGACTATTCCTGGGAGAATTTCCCTCTTTATCAGCATTTTGCGAGTGATTGTTGGGCCAAATAATGGACTTTTATGGGTCTGTGATGATTAGATAGCGTTAGTGAAGAACCTTCAGGCTCTATGTTGTTACTGTTTGTTCAGCATCGTGTAGCAATTTGTTACTGTCATATTGATAATTCATTCTCCTCAATCATGATGAGGAAAAAAACATTTCTATTTTCAAACCAGAACTCAAGAACCAATATTTGTCAAGTGATCCACTAGTATAAGCCTGCCCGGGAACAAATACTTTTATGCTTGTACTTTACTGAAATAATTTAGCTGTTATAATTTTGATGTTTCAGCATGTTCAGTATTTGCACTAAGAAAAAGCATTGTGCCAAATTAAAATCCATTTCATTCTTAGCATTTTGTTTAATGCTGTTATTTCCGTATATTGCTTTAGTTTTAGCTCTTAAATATGTGTATCTTTTAACAGTTTGCAATCATGACAAAGTGCAATTTTGAAACCCTGAATTTATGCTATCTACCAATTGTCTACTGTAGATTCATTTATTTTTTTCATACAAATTACTGTTGGCAAACTGGATATACATTCTTGTAACATAATCATGATAAGTGGTAGCATTTGTATTAGGGCATTTAGAAAAAGTGACCCTCAAAAGACCTTAAAGTCCTTAAAGGCCAACGATCCTAATGAATAAAAATCAGAGTTGACTCCCCTTTGTTGATGACTATAATGGATTTCTATTTATAGATCCTGCACACCCACATGTACAGTACTGGATTTCTATTTATAGATCCTGCACACCCACATGTACAGTACTGGATTTCTATTTATAGATCCTGCACACCCACATGTACAGTACTGGATTTCTATTTATAGATCCTGCACACCCACATGTACAGTATAGAGAAGCAGCCCCTGAATGCTGGGGGATCCCCCCTACAGATCCGCTGTAAGGATTTCCGATGTATTACGTTCGTGATTCCTAGAGACAGAGACTGCCAGGACATTTTTACCTCCTTACAGGAACTCTCCAGACCAGGTCAGCTGCTGTTCTGATTGGTTAACTGTAAAATTAGTGCTTATATAACATTTCAAGCTCTCTTATTAAAGATTTAAAGAATTTATCCAAAGTGCACAAATTTCAAGATGATTTAAAAAAGTTTTCTTTCTAAAAATTGAATTTGAAATTGTAATATACTTTTAACATTTGAGATTTTTATATTTGTCTTTTCTTGTCACAGTTTTTACTGAATCCCTGTTTCTTCTTTTCAGCTGACATAGAGAAGCTGTATGCATTTGTTTATTCTGCGGCGGATGGGATGGAGAAGTCGTACGGCTGGGATCTGTACGATGCTCAGTCTGAGTATCTGAGGATGGGGGTCCCTAACCAGAACTGGTCCCTCTCCAACCTCAACAAAAATTACGAGGTATTGTACACTGGCCATTTTGTAACTTGAACAAATATTACTATCATATACTCTCATATACTATTCCACAGTCTCAACAAAAGTGAACAAAGTACTATGCACTAAACTTGGCTAATTTCTAACATTGAAAAATATTAATGAGGTACCATAATACTGAACCCTCTCTAAGCAGAACAAAAATTTACCAGGTACCTTATAGGGCTAGGCGGTTATTACTGAAACTGTTATTGAATTGGTATAAGCGAAAGGTACATTAGTACAAGAATTTTATGGCCCAAGGCTGGGAAAAAGCATTTTCTGGAGTGAGAAATCCAACAATTTAGGAGAAAAACGTAGACCTGTCTAGGCAGTAATTTTTGTCTTAATTCCTGAATGATCCTTTCTGTGTTATGTACAATAATATGCACTTGTTGTGATGACACTGTAAGGTATTTTACTCTTTATCTAACTAACCTAAATAATCTGTTTGTATGATATATTTTTGTTGACAGCTTTGTGATACATATCCCAGACACCTTTTTGTTATCTTTGACTATTATATGACTGACTTTGTTGATTTATTTAATGACAGTATTAGTACTTTCAGTACTTTGATTTTGTTGACAGCTTTGTGATACCTATCCCAGACACCTATTTGTTCCCGCCTCAGCGTCGACACCAATCATCCTCGGCAGTTCTAAATTCCGCAGCCGTGGGCGACTTCCTGTCTTATCTTACTTTCACAGTAAAACCCAGGTACGTAAAACCGAGCCATGTAAACAAATCACAGTAAAACCCAGATAAGTTAACCCCAGTCAAATGAACATGTCATATTTCAAAATATATAAAGTTCAACCTCCTTATCTTGAACTCCAACAGACTGAGGTTAAACTCAGAGACAGGAGAACACTGACACTGTATTTATCTGCTGTTGTTTCTAGGCAGCCATTTGTCGATGCAGTCAGCCTCTTTCTGGATTTCGGGCCCGCTGCATGGAAGATGAACAATTACTACACTGCATTCTAAAATCCAACCCCAACCCTAAATCAGAGTTCATGTACGTTGTGGACACCAGGCCAAAGGTGAGATTCTGATGTATTGATATCATTGTAGTTTGATGTATTAAGGAGGCTCATTACACCACTTTTTGATGACGTACTACACAAAAAAATAAACCTCCATTGTGTCGACCGGTTTGCTCAGGGGACGAGTTGTATAGATACCTCTATGATATGACCCTGACCTTTAAAACGCTTTAAAAATAAATGAAACATGCAGTGTTGTACACAGTGAAAACAAAGTAACGGATTCATTATGCATAAACCAAGAAGAATTGCTTTTAGGCAGAAACAAAAGAAAGCAACTGTCAAATCTTCACCAAACAAGTAATGTCAATTTCATAGCCATGCATTCAGTGAGCTCTATCAATCAATGACATGTTTGTATGGAGGAAATTCGAGTTAAAATCTACAATCTTGTTGAAATTACTCGCACTTTTAACTGTGTTGGTGTTAATTTATATTTTTGCTTTATAAATTTAAATGTATACTCTGGCAATTTAAACCTTTGTTCTGCATTTTAGATGTAATGTCAAACGTTCCTTAGTGTTTTGAGTCTTGGCTAATTAGGAAAGATAACTCTTGAAAGTGGACTTTTTATACCAAATATTTTTTAAATTGGATTTTTCATTTCGTTTAAACTTTCTTCATTCAATTAGACACATGTAATTTATTGAAATACATTCCTTGTCTCTTCAGAACACATTTTTAAAATGTTTGTGTGTATTTGTCTTACGAAGATGCCCATCATTTGACACTGAAAGTTCTGAAATTCTGTGAATAATAAAGCTGAAATAAAACATTTCACTAAAATAAAACAAAAACTAAAAAATTCTATAAAAAATATTTATGATATCAATACTCCCATCTGGATATTTGACATCTACATTATAAGTGGTGCTGTATTGAAATCTAAAATAAACTGTGGATGTAATGAGCCACCTTAATGATATCATTGTAGTTTGTGTGGCACTTTGGATTCTATTGTCAAAACATTACCAATAACCATTGTAAATAGCCTTCCTTGGTTTAATATTGAGACCATCCAATATTTCACACCTTTGTTCTGCCTGTTTGGGTTGGTGGTTATTAGTCAGTGGAGAATTTCAGGTTATCTAAGCAGGATGATTTAGTTTTTATATTACAGATAAATGCGATGGCTAACAAGGCTGCGGGAAAAGGTTACGAGAATGACAACCACTACACAGACATCAAGTTCCAGTTTTGTGGCATCGAGAACATCCACGTCATGAGGGCTAGTCTACAAAAACTACTGGACGGTAAGTCAATATTGGGGCCAGCCTACAACAACTACAGGACGATCAGATAAATGCTGTACAGTACATGTATGTCTGTAGGTCAAAGAATATCAAAAAATATTTCAAACTACTGGAAAATGCATCTGTTTGGAAAAAGTAACTGCACAGTTTATCAAGTATATGCAAAGGGAAAAAAATTAAACAATCGTGTTAAAATTAATGAGGTATGCTATTAAACATAAATCACAGGTGGTCATGGTAGGAGGGAGGTTACTTTCTCTTAAATAATCACTGAACGTTAAACAAGTGGACAATTTATTCTAAACCTGATATCCGCCGTATTGTATATAGTTTATCTGTTTATCTGTGTTTTCAGTGTGTGAAATGAAAAATCCTTCCATGTCAGCATTTCTTCAAGGACTGGAGACAAGCAGCTGGCTCAAACACATCAAGTCAGTTCTCGACACCTCAGTGTTCATAGCAGAGGTAAGTATAGGCACTTCAGTGTTCATAGCAGAAATAAGTCTGTTCTCGACACCTCAGTGTTCATAGCAGAGGTATGTGTAGACAACTCAGTGTTCATAGCAGAGGTATGTCTGTACTAGGCACTTCAGTGTTCATAGCAGAAATAAGTCTGTTCTCGACACCTCAGTGTTCATAGCAGAGGTAAGTGTAGACAACTCAGTGTTCATAGCAGAGGTATGTCTATGCACCTCAGTGTTCATAGCAGAGGTAAGTCTGTTCTAGACACCTCAGTGTTCATAGCAGAGGTAAGTGTAGACACCTCAGTGTTCATAGCAGAGGTAAGTGTAGACACCTCAGTGTTCATAGCAGAGGTATGTCTGTACTAGGCACATCAGTGTTCATAAAATAGGTAAGTGTAGACACCTCAGTGTTCATAGCAGAGGTAAGTGTAGACACCTCAGTGTTCATAGCAGAGGTAAGTGTAGACACCTCAGTGTTCATAGCAGAGGTATGTCTGTACTAGGCACATCAGTGTTCATAAAATAGGTAAGTGTAGACACCTCAGTGTTCATAGCAGAGGTAAGTGTAGACACATCAGTGTTCATAGCAGAGGTATGTCTATGCACCTCAGTGTTCATAGCAGAGGTATGTGTTGACACCTCAGTGTTCATAGCAGAGGTAAGTCTGGGTACCTTAATGTTCATAGCAGAGGTATGTGTAGACACCTCAGTGTTCATAGCAGAGGTATGTCTATGCACCTCAGTGTTCATAGCAGAGGTATGTCTGTACTAGGCACCTCAGTGTTTATAGCAGAGGTAGATGTAGACACCTCAGTGTTCATAGCAGAGGTAAGTGTAGACACCTCAGTGTTCATAGCAGAGGTATGTCTATGCACCTCAGTGTTCATAGCAGAGGTATGTCTGTACTAGACACCTCAATGTTCATAAAATAGGTAAGTGTAGACACCTCAGTGTTCATAGCAGAGGTATGTGTAGACACCTCAGTGTTTTAGCAGAGGTAGGTCTAGACACCTCAGTGTTCATAGCAGAGGTAAGTGTAGACACCTCAGTGTTCATAGCAGAGGTAAGTGTATACACCTCAGTGTTCATAGCAGAGGTAAGTGTAGACACCTCAGTGTTCATGGCAGAGGTAAGTGTAGACACCTCAGTGTTCATAGCAGAGGTAAGTGTATACACCTCAGTGTTCATAGCAGAGGTAAGTGTAGACACCTCAGTGTTCATAGCAGAGGTATGTGTAGACACCTCAGTGTTTTAGCAGAGGTAGGTCTAGACACCTCAGTGTTCATAGCAGAGGTAAGTGTAGACACCTCAGTGTTCATAGCAGAGGTAAGTGTATACACCTCAGTGTTCATAGCAGAGGTAAGTGTAGACACCTCAGTGTTCATAGCAGAGGTATGTGTAGACACCTCAGTGTTCATAGCAGAGGTATGTGTAGACACCTCAGTGTTCATGGCAGAGGTAAGTCTAGTCATATTAGATTTCATAACAGAAGTAAGGTTACTCTAGATACATGTATCTCAATGTTCATAGCAGAGGCTGAGTACATCTAACAATTTATGATGAGCATCTTATATTTCCATTTCTAATTCTTTTCTCTGTGATAACTATTTGAAAGTTAGGGGAGTTGATTTCTTGATAATTCTACCAGAATGTAAATTTGTCAGGTCAATAGGTCAGGAGCTAAGAAGGCCATTTTTAAAATCTGAATCTACAATTTCATTTAACAATGAGATGGAAATATAAGGAATCACTGTCTAGTTTAGTATGCCAGGGACATCAACAATGGTGGGAAACATGGGGTAATTTGCATAATGGGCTTCGCCCATTAATTTTTCGTTTATTTCAGGCTGTGAAGATATTGGTTGTTTATTGGTTGTTCATTTGTTTATTTACTTTTTGTTTATTGGTTTATTCCAGGCAGTGAAGAATGGGCAGAGTGTTTTGGTGCACTGTTCTGATGGCTGGGATAGAACTGCTCAGACCTGCTCACTTTCTAGTCTGATGTTGGACCCCTACTACAGGACAGCCCAGGGATTCCAGGTAGGTGTTTTCTGTCTATGTATAGTCTGATGCTGGACCCCTACTAAAGACAGCCCAGGGACTCCAGGTAGGAGTTCTATGATTTGTCTTAATACTGGACACTTACCATAGGACTGCCCAGGGCTATCAGGTAGGAGTTCTCTGAGTTGTCTTATACTGGCTGCTCAGGGTTTTTAAAGTTAGGTATTATCTAACTAGTCTAATACTGGACACCCACAATAGGTCAGCCCAATGGTTTCAGATAGGTGTTCTCTGACTAATCCTGCTGGCTACCCAGGGTTTTCAGTGACAAGTTCTCTGATAAGTCTAATGATGAACCATGATATGATTCTAACCTAGGCCTAGGGGTTTCAGATATACTAGTCTAATGCATGACCATGATTTACATGTGTATATGTACAAAATTTATGAAATTCTTAGGTAAATATGGTATGTTAATAAGCATCAATATAGAAATGTATAATCTTCTGTAGGCGCTGATAGAGAAGGAGTGGTTATCGTTCGGCCATAAATTCACGGACCGCTGCGGTTTCCTGGAGACGCCAGACAATAAGGAGACGTCGCCAGTGTTCACACAGTTCATTGAGGCTGTGTGGCAGTTGATGCAGCAGTACCCTTGTGCATTCCAGTTCAACGAACGATTCCTTCTGACCATTCATGACCATGTATACTCATGTCAGTTTGGAACCTTTATAGGGAACTGTGAGAAAGACAGGCTGGATCTTAGGTAAGTTTTCAGAGTTAGATATTTTCATTCTTGTACAGGGTCCTAATTTGTCTTTTATACATCCATTTTCTATCTGTCATATATGAAAGTAAACTTTTAAAGAAACTTATAGATGAGAATTACATTAAATCTCGATCATGCAAGGGTCCATATTGCTCAGAGCATATCAACTGTAAAAATATTGTACATATTTCTAAATCATTATTAATTCATTTTTTATATCCCCAAAAAAGGAACCATGTCATATTTTTTATCTGAGAGATATAGGGTGAAATTTTCATATTGTACTTTAATGTTAAAAGAATTTTACAAACCCTAAATCAAGACTTCACATTTCAAATTTCCCTTATGTGAAATCATCCTGGTGTGCTAAGCAATGAATTTTTGTTATAATTATCTATAATTATAATTTGGATCCTGGGGAGATGCCTAGTATGCTCAGGATAGCTGTAATATTTGAGTGACTGTGAGAACCAATGGTCATCTCACTTTATTTATATCAAATATTTTAAGTAACTTACTGTTAATTTTTCCTCAATTATTTTTGTTATAGATTGAGTGAGAGAACCTATTCCTTGTGGGGCCATATGAAGAAGCACATGTCAGAATTCCTGAATCCTCTCTACAAGAAAGAGTATGAGTTGACCCAACCTACTCTATCACCCAACACCAGCTCTCAGAACGTCAAGTAAGTAAAATGGGTGACACCCATCCCCCCCCCCCCCACACACACACTATCACCCAACACCAGCTCTCAGGATGTCAAGTAAGTAAAACATGACCCCCCCCCCCACACACACACACACACAAACACACATGATCACCCAATACCAGCTCTCAGAACATCAAGTAAGTAAAACTGACACCCCCCACACACACACACTATCACCCAATACCAGCTCTCAGAACATCAACTAAGTAAAACAGTGACACCCCCCCCCCCCACCCCCACACACACACTATCACCCAACCCCAACCCCAACTCCCAGAATGTCAAGTAAGTAAAAATATGACCCACCCCACACTATCACCTAACCCAAGCTCTTAGTTCTTCAGGTAAAATTGTGACCCACCCCACACTTTCACATCTCTGCAAGTACATGAATAATGCACATGCCTTAAACTTATTATTTCAAGTTAGTTCTTGAGAGTGAAATATAGTTTATCTTGTTATATTTTTCAGATTTTGGAAGGGTATGTACCACAGATATGATGTAGGGCTTCATCCAAGAGAACAGATTGCAGACATTCTGAGCGCTGCCAAAGATCACTCAGACTCACTAGAGGACCACATCAGTCTACTAGAGAAGGTAAGATCACTCACTCAGACTCACTAGAGGACCACATCAGTCTACTGGAGAAGGTAAGATCACTCAGACTCACTAGAGGACCACATCAGTCTACTAGAGAAGGTAAGATCACTCACTCAGACTCACTAGAGGACCACATCAGTCTACTGGAGAAGGTAAGATCACTCAGACTCACTAGAGGACCACATCAGTCTACTAGAGAAGGTAAGATCACTCAGACTCACTAGAGGACCACATCAGTCTACTAGAGAAGGTAAGATCACTCACTCAGACTCACTAGAGGACCACATCAGTCTACTGGAGAAGGTAAGATCACTCAGACTCACTAGAGGACCACATCAGTCTACTAGAGAAGGTAAGATCACTCAGATTCACTAGAGGACCACATCAGTCTACTAGAGAAGGTAAGATCACTCAGATTCACTAGAGGACCACATCAGTCTACTAGAGAAGGTAAGATCACTCAGATTCACTAGAGGACCACATCAGTCTACTGGAGAAGGTAAGATCACTCAGACTCACTAGAGGACCACATCAGTCTACTAGAGAAGGTAAGATCACTCAGATTCACTAGAGGACCACATCAGTCTACTAGAGAAGGTAAGATCACTCAGATTCACTAGAGGACCACATCAGTCTACTGGAGAAGGTAAGATCACTCAGACTCACTAGAGGACCACATCAGTCTACTAGAGAAGGTAAGATCACTCAGATTCACTAGAGGACCACATCAGTCTACTAGAGAAGGTAAGATCACTCAGACTCACTAGAGGACCACATCAGTCTACTGGAGAAGGTAAGATCACTCAGACTCACTAGAGGACCACATCAGTCTACTAGAGAAGGTAAGATCACTCAGACTCACTAGAAGACCACATCAGTCTACTAGAGAAGGTAAGATCACTCAGACTCACTAGAGGACCACATCAGTCTACTAGAGAAGGTAAGATCACTCAGATTCACTAGAGGACCACATCAGTCTACTAGAGAAGGTAAGATCACTCAGACTCACTAGAGGACCACATCAGTCTACTAGAGAAGGTAAGATCACTCAGACTCACTAGAGGACCACATCAGTCTACTAGAGAAGGTAAGATCACTCAGACTCACTAGAGGACCACATCAGTCTACTAGAGAAGGTAAGATCACTCAGACTCACTAGAGGACCACATCAGTCTACTAGAGAAGGTAAGATCACTCAGATTCACTAGAGGACCACATCAGTCTACTAGAGAAGGTAAGATCACTCAGACTCACTAGAGGACCACATCAGTCTACTAGAGAAGGTAAGATCACTCAGATTCACTGGAAGACCACATCAGTCTACTAGAGAAGGTAAGATCACTCAGATTCACTAGAGGACCACATCAGTCTACTAGAGAAGGTAAGATCACTCAGACTCACTAGAGGACCACATCAGTCTACTAGAGAAGGTAAGATCACTCAGACTCACTAGAGGACCACATCAGTCTACTAGAGAAGGTAAGATCACTCAGATTCACTAGAGGACCACATCAGTCTACTAGAGAAGGTCTCATTAGAGATCATAAGAGAAGAATGTCATAAGAGTGTTTTTCATTTCTTAAACTGGGAGTCATTCACATTTTTGTCAGTAAATTTACTGTAAATTTGGAACTTTGGTGATAAAAAAATTATAAATGAAATTTAAAATGACTGAATTTAAAGTAGTCAAAGTTTCCACTTCAAACTTTTTCTCATTCTTGTTAATACCTGTACCTATCAAACCATTCAAGTTTCCATTAATCAACTTTCTAAAATGAGGAAATTAATTGTCAAACTTTGAACTCCCCCAAATCTAAATGCATTTCTTCAGTTCAGTTCAGTTCAGTTCAGTTCAGCAAGGTTCAGCTTAGAATTGGTGGAGCACCTTTGAAATGAATTTTACTGTATTTATTTTATGTGAGGTTTTGTTATTGTAGATTTGTTATTTTAAATGTATTAATTTTAAGTGAAGTTTTGTTTTGTAGAGAGTGACACAGATCTGTCAGCTGTTGGGGAAATCCGAGGATGTGATACAGAAAAAACTGAATGGTGGATTATCCATGGAGTCTCTGGATAATCTCAAGGAATCCGTGGAGAATTCTGTTACAGAGAAATCCGAGAAAATTACGGTCAACGGAGAATGTGATACTAAACTGGAACAAAACACCAAATCAAAAGACATAAACGATCTCATCGACCTCAAGAGTGATAATGAATCGGGGTTTGATGAGTCCAGTTCACAGTTGTCTAGATCGGGTCATGGTGACCTAAATACCCAACGAACAGGTATAGAAACTGGTTCCCTTGACTCCAGTATGTGCTCGGTGGGGAGGGACCAGCTAAGCTTGGACTTGCTTTTGTTTGAGATGAACAGCGTGGCCATTGATTGGAAATCATTTCGCAATATTCACAACTGTAGCTGTGCATCTCCATTTAATAGTTTTACTAAAAAGGCAAGGCTTATATATATTATTAGTTTTCCAATATTTATAACTTTAGCTGTAACTGTGCTTCTTTAATATTTTAAAAATAGTTTTACAAAAAAGGCAAGGCATATTTTATACATGATTGTATTTTACAGAGGCAAAGTACAGTCAAAATCAGGGATAGGGCTAGAAGTTTCACCCCCCCCCCCCCCCAGGCCCTGACCCCATCACCCCAATTCAATTGGATGGAACAATACACTAAAAAGTTCAGAATTTCTTACCAAAATGTATTTCACAGAATTGTGCTGAATATTTATGGAGTTATGTCCCTTTGCATACAATTTTATTTTATAATCTGATTTTCAGTGTTTCCTGATAGAGTTAAAACATTTAACCTCTTAAAAGGCTTGAATGTGTGACATAATGATATGATTAACCAGTACAAAGTCCTAGCCCTAATCAATGAAATAATTTACAATTCACTGGATCAGATTTCTGCTCTTTGACCTGTAGTTGTCTTGGTGGTACACTCTGATGTATGTCTGTAGATATGTACTATTGGTGTATACTCTAGTACTGTTGATGGTCTTTGTTAGTACTTCCTAAATAAATAACGGATGTTCTCAAAAGTCACCCAGACAAGGTTACTAGAGTACTTGTAGACAAAATAAAATTCTATTTATAGAACAGGGAAGTTAATATCGCAGATTCTGAGCCCGGGAAACAAAATAAACATCACTGTTGTTATTGGTCAAAGCAGTACATGTACTAACTCTTCATGTTATGCAGTCACCATGGTCACTGTAGTAAAAATAAATATCAGTATGTGTGTACTTTAATTTATTCTAACATGAATTTATAATAAAAATATCAAAAGAGTTTTGTTTTGCCTGAAATTATAGTACATGTATATTCAGCCTGCATACTATTTACATGTAGTAGCATAGTCATATAAAATACATTCAATTTGATAACTAATTTTTGTGTCATACAGTTTAAACCATGTTAAACTGTATGACACAAAAATTAAATTTTGTATTTTTTTTTTTTTTTGCTTTGTTGCTGAAAGTTTTGTGGGTTTTTTTTTTACTGTGATGTGTTGATTATATTTTAATTCTGGTTTTGTATTTTCTAGTTCTATTGCTGGAGATGTCGTAGTATATTTTGTAGGGTTTTTAGCTGTGGTGTGTTGACTTATATTTTGATTCTGTTGGTTTTTTTTTTTTTTTTAATTTTTTTTACTTCCATTGTTGGAGATGTGGTGGTGTGTTTTGTAGGGTTTTAAGCTGTGATGTGTTGACTTATATTTATACCCCCGCTCCGAAGGAGAGGGGGGTATACTGTTTTACCCTTGTGTGTCTGTCTGTCCGTCTGTCTAGCTGTCCGCCTGTCTGTCCGTAACAAATTTTCGTCGCACTTTTCTCAGCAACTACTTATGGCAGATGCTTGAAATTTTAACACAATCTTCTCTGAGGCATGCCATACGGTGGGATACATTTTTGGTCAAATCCGATGTCAACATCCTGTTTGTCCGTGCGTCTGTCCGTTTCATACATAAATTTTCGTCGCACTTTTCTCAGCAACTACTTATCGCAGATGCTTGAAATTTTAACACAATCTTCTCTGAGGCATGCCATATGATGGGATACATTTTTGGTCAAACTCGATGTCAACTTCCTGTTTGTCTGTGCGTCTGTCCGTTTCATACATAACAAATTTTTGTCGCACTTTTCTTAGAAAGTACTCATCGCAGATGCTTGAAATTTTCACACAATCTTCTTTGAGGCATGTCATACGGTGGGATACATTTTTGGTCAGATTCGATTTTAACTTCCTGTTTGTCTGTGTGTCTGTCTGTTTCATACATAACAAATTTTTCGTCTCAGTTTTCTCATCAATTAATCATAGCCATGATAGCAGATGCTTGAAATTTTAGTACACTCTTTGTTGAGGCATGCCATATGGTTGGATTATTTTTGATATGAATCCGATGTCAATTTCATATTTTTCTGTGCATCTGTCCATAATTGAACTTGTGTATATTAACATGATAGTGTTTATTTTAGGGATGTCAAATCGGTCAATTTTTAGTACTCGGTTACTCGGACGTTTTTCCGATCGAGTACCCGGTTACTCGGTAAAAAGTGAAAATATATATGAACAAGTAAATTGATGACTGTAAAACATTGAAATATATTGTAGAAATACAACCACATGCTTTGATAGGAGGTTTACCCGTAAATGTATTTCTGATGTAAACAATGATAAGCACTTCGTGTCCGACGAAATTTAATATAACATTTGTTTTAAATATCAGATAAACTCAAGAAATAAAATCATAATTTAGTGGTTCACACAGTTTTTGTTTAAAAAAAAATACTCGTTCCGTAAATTGTAACTCTTTGTTGCATTTGACGCCCTATCAGTCGTCAGAGCTACGTGCAGTATCAACTTGAACTTGACCTTGAGTTCTCATAACAGAGCGGATTTTCGCCCACTTTTTCACTCCTATTTTATATAGTATTTCGGGACGGAATTTTGTAGTTTAGTGCAACGATGGACATAAGTTTTTAAAAGCCTTCGCCTTCAACCATTTGTATCAGCGTGTAATCAAACAAAACGATATCAACAATCGCACATGTAATATCTGTCTCTTTTCCGAGAACTTGCGGCCTTTCGGAAAATTGACAAAATTATCAAATTTATTTAAACACAATAGACCTTAAACGATGTTCAGTGAAAACAAACAAAGCAAATCAAATATAATGGTAAAAGACGGCCAAGGTGAGAAGGCCAGGTAGCAGGTGCTTGGTCACGATAATTACTATATAAACACAGCCAAAGGCGATAACGGTCATTTAGAGGTGTTGGAAACCCTAATTACTGTATGTACAAATACAAAGAGCATTTTACGTTTAAAAACGGATTGTTTATTGCATTAATAAATAAGCTACAAAATATTCAAAAATATACATCCGAGTAACCGAGTACCGATTTTAGTATTTTTGGATGTACACTTTTTGTTGGTTAATTGTGTGACTTAATTCCTTAGTTTATTTACATCAGAGTGGGGGTATTCCTAGTGAGCATTAGCGCACAGATTTCTCGTTAATTCTGGTTTTGTATTTTCTAGTTCCATTGCTGGAGATGTCATAGTATATTTTGTAGGGTTTTTAGCTGTGATGTGTTGATGTATATTTAATTCTAGTTCTGTATTTTTTAGTTCCATTGCTGGAGATGTGGTGAAGTATTCTGTATGCGGTGTATTGCCAAAAATATCCCCCTGCCTGGTCACATGTCACGGCGCCCAGTCCCCGTCTGTCGACCATGCTACAAGGAAATACGCCACTCCCCCTCCATGGAATTCCCCACCGGTCAGATCAGCAGCTGATGACTGTAGAGGACCAGACTTTTAGAGTGCAATGTTATTTATTTTGTAGCTCATTGCTTTGTGTGTGTGTATGTGTGTGAGGGAGAGGAGAGAGAGAGGGTGTGCAGTATTATCTATCATGATGTATCACTCAGGTTATTTTGAAATGTGGAGCATGACCGTTCTATAAACCCATAAAAACTACAAAGTATGATGATATTAAATTTAAAATATTCCCCACTTTAATGACATTTGTAGAATGTATCATGTGATAAGTCTCCATACACAACTGAATGTGATAGCTTTTGTGTTTAGTGAAATAATTGCACTATAATCAAATCATTGAGTTTTAAGGCCTGAGAATGCCTTATATTATGATGTAATGTTTCACCTTTGAATAAGATAATTACATTGTTAAGTGGATCATCTTCAGACCACTGTACAGTATATTTTACAAAATATCAAAGGAATAGTTGAGTAGGATTTCAGAAAAAATCAATTATCATAAAAAAAAACTTGTAGTTTTAACAGAGGAAAATTTATTAAAGGAAGCAATTTGATTGATTATTGAAGATTCTGTCATTTCAAAGATGTGTTCATTGACAGACTAAAAAGTTTTGATGGGCAGACTTAAATAATTATGAAAGTAAATAGACCAATATTTGAGTAGGTATAATATGCTCTATGTATATTTTCTGTTGAGTTTCTTACCTCCCCTACTTTGCTGTGATATTTTCCATAAACCAACTGTTGGAAAAACTGCAGTTCAAGGAAAGGGATGGATACTCTAAACCATGATTTATTTAATTACCTGAAATATCCGAGTTTTCTGACTCTTTTATTTGTGGAGCTGATACTTTTCACACATATAACTTATTAACATAATATGGCATGTTTCCTCTGACATATTAGTGAGGATATGACTATCAAATTGATGAACTTCAAATAAAAATGTCAGGAATAATATTTACTTCAATCTATGTCTTCACAGTACAACAAAATGTCTGACAATGAATTATCGTCCGAGTATGGGAGTGTGATCATTTGAGTGTAGCCCTGTATATTTGTTTTTTTCCTCACTGTTATTTCTTTGTTACAAATGAGATGCTTTATAGTAAAGATATCTGATATAATAATTATGTCAGTTGTTTTGTTAAACTGTCGATTGTGTTCATTCTCTATAGTACAGTGAAACTTGTCTAATTTGATTTGGTGAATCTGAAATCTTGTCTTATATGGTCTAAACTTATGATTCAAGAAATTCAATAATTTAAAACATCTGAATTTGGAATGTTGTCTTGTTAAACAAATTCCTTGGTACCAATCAGTAATAGTGTCAGGAACAGACAGGTTTCTCTGTATCTCAAATAATCCAAGGGCCTGTCCTTTGCTCCGATTCCTGAAGGATCAAAATTCAGAAGACCATGCAGATCAGGATTCAAACCCTGGCCCCCTGACCCCTCCAGCAGACGGGTGTTTTAATAATGGAGTTATAAACCCAGCTGCTGGCTACTTGTGGACCACTTGCCCTGTAAGCTTAAGAGACTTGGTTATAATCCCAATCAATGGTATTAGTTATTTCCCTTTGTATGCCAATAGCCAACATGGTTGTAGACACAGTTCAGGCAGAACCATTTGACTTTTCATACTTGCTAGAGATTCTAATTGGTCTTAAAATCAAGGTAAAACTTGGAAATGAGATCAGCTTTTTACCTCCTACAAAATTAAAGTCATTAAGTAGGTTATCTTTATTCATTGGAGTAAATGCAGCATCTAAATCCTGAATGGTTACAACATAGATGCATCTTTGATGCAAATCTAATGAAGTACAAAGACAACTGCTCCAAAAACCTTAGTATAATTTAAGCTCCCCCTACTTCTGACCAGTCCCATGGGATCATGAAATATCTTCAAGCAAAATCTCTAAGTAATGTACTTAATGTTTTAGATTCAAACTATAATTACATATTTTTTTCAACATTGCTTCCCAAATGTGATGTTTCTTGATTATCTCTTTGTTGTGTTATGTTATGACATCCCAGTGAATAATAAAAGCACTGGTCCCTTGACCTGGGTTCTACCTTGAAAAAGAAGCAAAAACAAAAGAGTGGCATTATTTGTAAGTTTATTTTAAACTACTTTTCACCAGATGCATTACATTTCTGATGCTGACTTTCATATTGTACAATGGCACACTTAATTTTTCATGTCATTGAATTTTAACAGAGAAAAGTAGGTCAGTATCGTAAAAGAATCAGTCTTAACAAAGGATATAGATAAACAATTGATATATATGTATATATAGATTGAAAAAAAAAAGTCAAATATTATAAAATAATGACTATCACTATATACAACAAAACATACAACATTAATTGAAATTCATTGCATTTAAAGTTCATCAAATGTGGTTAGGACAGATATTGGTGCACACTAGAAATAAGAAGTCATTCCTGCGAAAATGATCTTTGACTTAACCCTATGCATCTGAAATGGTAAATTTTGCATGTAAATAACTGTGGAATAGTTTGACTATGGGAAGGAACGGTGGATTTGAGTTATTCTGGGGGGCTGTGAGTGCTCTTATTTTTAAGTAGAAACTCCCATTTCCGTGTGTTTCAGTAGAATGTGGCCATAGTTTTAACTTGCATGGGATAACTCAGGTTACAAAGTGACGTGAAAAATTGGGCCTCCCATTATTTACTCAAGGAAAGATCTGAGACTCCAGTTTATTTTCTTACTCAGAGAAGAATTTTTACTTACTTGGGGGAGAAAAGGGAAGCTACTCCCTGTATCTGTAAAGCCTCTTGTTATATTTTGGGACAAATGATTGTTCTGGCTTTGAGTAACTTATTGGAGAAATGAGGACTCGGGTTATTTTACTACAGATGGAAAGGGTTTGATTTTTTTTGTTTTATTTGGGAGAGAAATAGGTTTCATATTCGAGTGACTCTCTGTATCTATAAAGCTTCTGGTTTTGAATGATTGTGTAAAAGTATAGGATTTGAGCCATTCTTCACTCAAATAAAGACATTTGTTTTGGGCACTGTGAGTGACTTTTTAGTTTTTTTTTCTAGTTATTTTAGAGAGAAGTTGGGAGGGGGTTTGACAGCTTGGAAGTTGGTCTGGTTGGCATATATTAGACACTACATGTTATGAAAATAAATGTTTGTGTATAAACTCTATAAAAATGCATTAAAGAGTTCATTCATAGCTTTCATTAAATGTACAAAATAATCAGGTTTTATTTATCTTGGTTCAGGGTGACTTTGATCTCAATTTCTTATATTAAAGTCAACATAAAACCACCTAAAATAAGCATACTTAAGATATAATAAAAAAACAAGAAACAGCAACTTAAGTAAACAACAATTTGAAACTGCAGAAAATGTATAATACTGCTGGTTGTGTTTGACAATTATAAAGTAACTTTGAGCATATACCATACAAATGAACTCACTGTTAGACAAACAACTGTACTTTGTACCAGAAACGACTAGGTAGCCATGTGATAAAACATCATAATCCTGTCCTGCAATTGTTATAAACACATCTGTCACAGTAAGTTTACTTCATGAATGTAATTCAAATTAAAAATCTCTCTTTCATCCATGTTTTACATGAACAAGACCTGCTGAAAAATTTCATAAATGTTTACTAAACATTTAGCAAAATAAGATTTATTTATCACAATTAACAAAAAAAAAAACAAACAAACAAACATAGTACATTTATTCTTTGTAATCAATGAAAACAGAAGGATAACTGGACAGTTTCTAGTTACCATGACTACCAAACAAGGACTTCTAAATTCACTGAGCAACACACAGTCTTTGGCTTTAGCATGTGTTTTGTGACAACTCATCAAGTTTTTGGCATTTTCTAAAATATTATCAAAAACAGTGGTGGCAAGATATAATTAAGTTGTTTTTCAAAATTTCTTTTATAAAAAATACAAAATATTTAAAATATTCTGATGACAACCTGATTGACGTAACTTTCACTCTCTATATTCATTGATTTCTTTCAAAAATACTCCTTACTCAATGCAGAATTAAGTGACATCAAAGTTTATACATGTAAAATTGAGTAAGCTATGATTTTAACAAGTATACAGTCATGTATATATATAATGTGAAGCACTCTTCTAAACAACCATCAAAAAACAAGGGTAATCTCTTAATATACACAATCTAACAACCAAACAATACTTCTCACACATCATCTCACATTGTACATGTATGTAGACTAACAACCATACAAAAACTTCTCAAATATCCATCTTAATATTACTATACATAGTCTAACAACCAAACACTATTTCTCAAACATCATCATCTCATCTTCTATCGTGTGTAGCTGCATATCTTCAAAATGACAACAAAGTAATTACAAGTAAACACAGAAAACTAACAATTTTACAAACCACTTAGAAAAAAGATCATACATTTGAATCCTTATAATTAATCTGGTCCTACACTTAATGTCGGCAGTTTGATTCTTGGTCGAATATTTGACACTTGGGAAATAATTAGAAATGAATGTACGGATGAACTAATTATGGTAATGGACCTCTTACATGGAGACAGATACTATTGTGAATTCAATGTTTATACATTGTCTACTTTGTTGATGGCCATATAACAACCATTACGTATAATCAGCAAAAATGTAAAGGGAGTTAACTCCCAGGACTCCATATTAACATCATCCTTTACGACTTTATATTGACAATAAAAGCAAAACAGCCATTACTTCCACTAATTTCCTTATTACAAACATTCTGCAAGATTATTTTCAAATCTATTCATCAGATTCAATGAGATATTCCTTAGATTTTTGACGAAATAGCTTTTCTTCATTCATTTAACCTTTGAAAAAAAACTTGCAATATAATTCATTCTCTTTGAGAAATAACCAATCACAAATCAGATTGCACAATGACACAGACCTCCAACAATAACAAGCTTGTCCTTGGCTAGGAATGAATAAATCACCATGTCCCATGCTCGGCTGGTGTCATCACACCCCTTATGTGTACCTTACAGTGGTCACCCGACCTCACGCTTCATCATGTTTACGGTCATTCTGTACTTTGGACTTAAGTTCCTGCAGCCCTATTGTCTTGACAAAGTCAATCTCCTTGTACTCTGTGGGTGTACTTTGTCCCGGGGGTGGGGCGTTTAGTCGGTGGGTCTCGTGGTCATTATCAGGATTGTCCAGCGCCAGGTCTAAATACTTGAGCTCATTGTCCTGTTTAGGGGCAGGAGGAATATCTTCCCAACCTTTGGATCTCTAGAAAAGAAAAGAAAACAAGTCAGTAACTTAGTATATATAAGTACAAGTCAGTAACTCGGGACATATAAGTACAAGTCAGAAACTAAGCATACATATTTTTCATAGCGATTTAATCTTATTTTGTAATAAAATATCAAACTTTGTGATTTCCTTTCCTTATTTACATTGTACAACACATCCAGTAACTCGGGACATATAAGTACAAGTCAGAAACTAAGCATACATATTTTTCATAGCGATTTAATCTTATTTTGTAATAAAATATCAAACTTTGTGATTTCCTTTCCTTATTTACAGTGTACAACACATCCAGTGAGGTGGCAGTTATTTTTAGACATTTTAAATGTCATGTTTATAATGACTAACTTCCTAAATGGGCCCCTCCCTCACTGGAGAATCTGTATACTTCCTCATCACTCTCTACACAGGAGGCTGAGAGAATCATTAAATAATTTATTCTCCATATTGTTTTCCATATGCACTCCCAGTACTTAAATATCAATAATGTTCTAGTGTTCTTGAGAAAAAAATTTTTTCCTATATATTCTGATTTTAAACTTTAATGTCCATTTGACAGAACCCCTAGATCCCTACCACCAGAGGAAAAGATTTAAACTAACTTCAATCTGCACTACCTGAGGATGATTCCATATTAATATTCTGTTGTTCTTGAGAAGAGGGTTTCTAATTATTTTTAAGATTTTTGTATACTTCCAATCTTGATTTGCTTAATATTTTGATTATCTCCCCTTGAAAAAAGGCATGGCCTTTCACTTAGAAAAAAATTTGACTCCCCTTTACCAAAAAATGAGCTGTCTTAAGGTAGGTTATATTGGCCCAGTGGTTCTAGAGAAGAAGATGAACATGTGAAAGTTTACAACAAGGATGACAATACAAAGGATGAAGCCAGATAACAGACGAATTGTAATCAGAAAAGCTTAGTTAAGCCTTTGGCTCAGGTAAGCTTAAACTAACCCAAAACAAACAAAATAACTTCCTAAACAAATCTGTTTTACTAATACAATAAGATCAAATGCAGTACATAAAAAAAAAACTTGAAAAGGAGGGCAGAAGAAATGTAAACAACAAAATAAAAGGTGGGGTAAAGAATGGAAAACATGCCAACATGCAACTAGAGAAACTGCTTTGAATTGCTCAAGTTCAATCATATAACAGGAGAAATTACAATATTACATGTATTACATTTGTTCACTGTCATCCACACATAAAACACACACAGTTAGTCAGACCTCCCTCTTCAAACACAGTGTGACCAAGATTAACCTAACTGATGTCCCCGAGGTCTGGGGAAGGTATAATAATGGTGCCCCTGGGGAAAACAATCAGTGTAGGATTGATGGAAATTATTATCCTGATGACTGGGAGGTTATTACATAAAAATTGCATGTAGTTGAGTGTAACATTGAAAATTTTCACCCCTCGTAAACCACTGCCAACCTCGGCTGCGCCTCGATTGACAATGGTTTTCTTGGGGTGAAAATCTTCAATGTCGCACTCAGCTACATGCAATATTTATTATATTATACTGAATGTTTTATACAAATACATATAACAGTGAACCGTGCGCGCATAAATTCTGCGCAGTCGCTTTTTTTTTTAATATCACCCATCGTAAAGCAATGTTAACTGTTGCTACGCTGGAGGGCGTGGCTTCATTATTCAGCGGGTAATAGCGTTTTTTAACAAATGTTTCTCGACCAATCAGATTCAACTACCGTATAGCGGGTTATTTTAGCGGGGTGTTAATTTTGGCTTATTTTGGCGTTTTGATGGTAGTCCGCTAAAATTTTAATCGCTAAAATATTCACTACTATTTGTAGTGTTTATCTGCAAAGAGCTAAAACCATGGGTCCGCTAAAATAAATCACGCTTAAATTATTGGCATACCTCTGAGCAGGCAAAACGCCAAATTTAACACCCGCCAAGAAAACCCGCTATACGGTAATTTACATGAAAGTATAATATAATAAATTATTGTATTTCTGTTAAAATGTTTCCTATATAAAGTTCAGAAGGTAAAATGACTATTTTTCATAGTCTGAAAATTTCCACTCATAGAAAGCTATACCCCAGGGTATAGTCTGGGGTATAGTTTTTGCTATCCACCCTCCGTAGATTTTCATACAATTTTTCTCACCAATTTTGATTTCCAGCAATAAATCAAAAGACTCAGATATTATAATATACATCCAGTATAATAAAATGCTTATCCACTGGCTGTGAGTGGGATAGCTCTTTCATCAAACCCTTGACAGGAACTATTCCCCCGAGGGCTCACAGCCAGTGAATAAGTATATACAATTACCCACAGGCTGTGGGATAGCTCTTTCATCAAAACCTATGACAGGAACTATTCCTAAAGGCCTTGTAAGAACTTTTCCCTGAGGGTTTAATTTCTAGAGCTATTTCCCAAGGGCTTGCCAGAACTATTCCCCTGAGGGCTTGCCAGAACTATTCCCTTGGAGGCTTGCTAGGACTTTTCCCCTGAGTGCCTTGCCAGAACTTTTCCCCTAAGGGCTTGCCAGAACTAATCCCCTAGTTTTTACAGAACTATTCCCTTAGGGCATGTCTGTACCATTCCCCTGAGGGCTTGCCAGAATTATTCCCCTAAGGGCTTGCCAGAACTATTCCCCCGAGGGCTTGCCAGAACTATTCCCCTGAGGGCTTGCCAGAACTATTCCCCTAAGGGCTTGCAAGAACTATTCCCTGAGGTCCTTCCAGAACTATTCCCCTGAAGGTTTGCTTTGACTTTTCCCCTCACGGATTGCCAGAACTATTCCCCTGAGAGCTTGCCAGAACAATTCCCCTGAGTTGTTGTTAGAAGGGGGATGTTTTGCTAAACATATTGCGGTCAGTAAGAAATAAATACTGAAGTTAGAGGATGTCTCATTTCATGGTTAGAGAAGATAATTTTTTTTCAGTTATGGGGAGATAAACATGCTAGAATAGGGTATGTAATAATTCTGAATAATCATGCTGCTATGAGGGGGTAGATGTTGGCATGCCTCCTGTCTGTCCCCCACCTGATCTGAGCAGTAGTGGGGCATCATGACCTGTTTAGGGTCCACCAAGTAATCGTCCTCCTCAGAGCTGGTCTCCATGTCGGGGTGAATCCTCAGGGGGGAGGGCAGGGGTGGGGCAGGCTGGTTTGACCTGTCAAAGAAAAATCCACTAATAAAAGAATTTCTGTTAGATTTCTCTGTCATATTAAACTTCAGAAGATTATAAAATGTATCAAAATACAAATGGAAATGAAATATCAAGTGGAAGTGACATCAAGTATTAACAATATTAATTTTACAGTGCTTATACATGTATTACAATCATGTCTTTTTATATAAATCTTGTCTTCAGATCTATCTTTGGAACTGAACATTTTTTGAAGCAATATCAATCCTACAATGTGTGATGTTAATATGACCTCCAATCATTGAACAATCATTGTGACATTCTTGATTTCCCCCCGTTTTGCAGCAGTGGAATAATAAACAATGCATTAGATGCGAGGTATGAACACCATGTGCACAGGTGGACTAACACCAGCTCTCCCTATCAAACTTCCTCTTCCACTCAAAATAAATGTCATCTGTCTGTCACACCAAATTTTAAAGTATATATTTCCTTGTTTTATTAGTTTTATATTGTTTCTGCATTTTCTGACCAACATCTCCTATTTATCAATCTCTGTTATTCTTTTGAATATATTCTTAAAATGTCATAGCAATCAGCATAAAATGTTTAATAGCATACTGAACAATCTGAATAATCCATGCCATATCATAGGAACTAAATTCCACATGTTCAGGATGTAATTCATAAATTTAGCTTTCATGCTTCTCAAATTACAAAACTGAAAGTATTGGTCATTAGTTTTATCTATCAAGATATTGATTTACTAAGAATTATAGGAGCTGATAGAAGAATCTGAAAATTCCATGTATTGCAGTCCCTTGGTGCATGTCCAAAGTAAGTCACTGCACTGCAGAAAATATAATTATAACTTTCAAGAGTGAATGATTAACAACAGGGTTGTTTTATATAGAAACAGAATTAATATTAGCTTCAATTTCAGAAACCTGCGGAGTGCACATAATGCCAAAATCGTGTGTAAATTGTACCTAGAATTTGTAGGAGTAGTGTCCCCTTCATCTGAAATAAAAGTTTAGAGAGTGAATAACCTCCCTTGATAAATGGACAGAAGACTTGACAAGGGCAGGAACTCTGTGTGAACAAGGCTTGGTTATTTTCCTTTACATTTGTACTTATCTATAACCACCCTCATCAATGTTAATATGGGCATACTCTTGTTGATTTCCCTTCATCATCCTATAACATCCCTTGTTAATGTTAATATGGGCATACTCTAAGTCAGTTTTTTTTTTTATTACAAACAAATACAGAGACCTTTTGATGGTAGACAGATTGTATTAGTTTAGGACAATAGCTAGTATAGCTAAAGATGTCACAGCATTTGGCCCATGACTCACGTGCTTGAGAAACTAGAGATTGTTTTGGCTTAAAAAACTTTTTTTTTCTATCAGAGTTAATACACCTAGACACCTGGCATGGCAAGATAACTGGTTAAATTATTTCATCTTTATCAGACATTTTTGTCTGTTTCAAGTCCTCAATTTACAATATTTGGATATCATTAAAAATGGCTCCTATTTTTTTCACAAAACTTAAAACATGTTTGCCAATCAGACCTGTTATTTTTGGCTCTAGTGACAAGATATATTTTGATATTATATTAGATACAAATTACCCTTCATAAATTCATTAATTACTGATTTGTCTGTGTCCTGAACTGGTCTCATCAACAAGGTGGGTCTAAACCCCTAAGGGGTGTGTGGGAGTAAGGTCAAAATTCCTAACATTCATAACAGGGCAATCAAAACCATCTACCACACATCATCGCATCAAACCAAATAATAATTATCATCTAAAATTATTAATTAAAGCTAATTGAAAAAATTTCTTTCCCAGAGAAATCTACAGCACTTTTGACCTAAGGTTTTTATAATGTTTACAGGGGAGTCCGTTTTAGTGAGTTATAATTGTTCACACAGTGTTCCTGCAACCTGTCAGTTTTTCTGCCCTTTGTGACAAACCTTTTCTCTAGCGTCCCCTGTGAGCTACTGGAACTTGGGTGACGTTTAAAACTGCGGGTCCGTGAGGTGCTAAATATAGAGTATGTGTCTTGTTCTGTAAATAAAGGTTCAAATTTTAATTCAATAAAATGAGCATCATCATTTCTGGAAATTCATTTCATAGGCCATTGCAGATGCAAATGCCAACTTCCAAGAATTCTACAAATAAAGTGCATACTATTAAACAGTAACAGTTATTTAAATTCCTTGCAGATCTTAGAATTCAGCTAAATGAACATCAATGTTGATAGCTGATGACATTTATACTAAGAATAATAGATCAATGTTGAACATGCTGAAATGTGTGTGACTGTATGTAGTTACATAGATAGCAGCTGTAATATCATGAATATGACTGCATTTCACAATCTCATCACTTTCTGGTAGTTTGTGACGTACTAATATTATAATATAATGGACGTCCCACACAGGCTAGGATTTAATATAACTCAAGGTATAACAGTCTCAAGTCTATTTTTGTTGTCACAATATTAGAAACCTGTCACATGAGACCATGTTCGCTAGATATTTTTTCTGATCATAAATTTCAGAAAACAGCAGCTGACTGTACATATTGCTCATCTGATAATTCTAACTTTCTATTTCTAAGGATATCCTGCTGCTTACACAAAATCTGATGCCCATGGGTCACAAGGCCCACCTGACTCACTATGGCCCTGCTGTTTCTCCTATACAAATAATACTACCCATGGATTTGCTAATGAAAATCATTCAAGATTTTTCCAACAATAAATTCCTATGTATTATATCAATAGCCCCCCCCCCCCCAAATTTAACCCTACATCTGCAAATCAATTAATTTTAAATTAACAAATTAAAATCAGCTTTAACATGACGACCTGAGGTTGATTCCAATTATCATGGCTTTGCTGCTCCTGAGAAGACTTTTTTTGAAGATTTTGTTTATTTGAATAGTCAATACCCTAAACCAAAGGATGTTTCATGCCAAATTATATAAAGCTGACATTGGCCTAGTGGTTTATATGAAGAAAACAACAATGTCTATAAAGACAGACAACATACAAACTTCCTAAGAAAACCTCACTTGAATCTTTGACTTAAGTGAACTAAGATCTGTAATTTGATCAGATGGTTTTTGGCAGGAGACCCCTTTATATATATATATAGTTTATCTGAAGCTATTTTTAAACTCAATCAAAAAGATCAACAGTGCGACATATGAAATGATTTGTGGCTTATGTCTACATAATTATGGATGCCACTACTGGTAGCTAAACATGACTGAAAGGTTTATATCTTTTTATAAATTCTTCCCCAGCAATAAGGTTACTCAATATTTGTAACATCTGCAATTTGTAGCAAATTTTAGAAATTCTAAATGCATTGATGCAACATGAATCACTGCTTCAACAGGCTTAGTTTTGTTTGATGTGGGATCATTACAAAAAAAATTGTTCTTCTTCAATATGGGCATTATTAAAACATAATACACGGTATATATTTTATAGAATGTCCTCCTGATTTAATATTATCTAATATGCTCGAGAGTTGTAAACCTGTGCGTCTTTGGAGGAGTGGATTAGACCCATGGATCATAAACCGTTTTAAAGATGCAAGTCAAAATACAAACTTTTCTTATATTTCCCTTCAGCATGTTCAAAACCAGCATCGACAATCTTTACACAAATTTTGAACTTAAATTCATAACAGAAATAAGCACTTGAGAGATGACTGAAATTTAGACATCTATTTCATATATCCATAGTTAGTCTGTTGTTAAATCACTATTATAAAGTGCAAAACATGTTGTCTTCATGAATGACCAAATAATCTCCTGCTTTCTTTCCCTAGTGCTGTTCTATTCTATTCTATAACTGAACTATAGTTTACTTTACATCATTCACATATATTGTTATCCTACCTTGGTTAGTGGATGGTCTAGGAGACACTCTGGGGGGTCTTGCTGGGGGCTTATCATACACATCGTGGTGACCTGGGGTCATATCCAGGTAGGGGTCATGACCCCCTGACATATCGTGGTACACACTGTCTGAATTATTCCTTGACCTGTTTCCCTCCATGGGGAGGTAATTGTTTTCACCGTCTACGCGGGGTTGAACGTATCCTTTGCCCGCATTTATATAGCTGTGAGACATACCCGCTGAACACCTCTGGGGGGGAGGGGGAACACTATTGGGAGACACACCTTTTACATCCCCGTTTGCTAAGGTTCCTTTGGGTCTTTCATAGTATGTAAGTTTGGGTGGGGGGATATCATAAGATCCAATAGAACAATGTTTATCCATGGCTGAAGTTGGCACCACTTTGTCCAGATCAAAGTTAGAAATTCGACTGTTGTTGGGAAGGTTTTGGTATGGTTCTTGATTGTAGGATTTGGGGGGTGGGGGTCGAGGGGGGACATCTCCCATTCCTGGAACACTAGGATGATTTAAAGGCGGGATATCATACACATCATCATGTCCTAGCTGGTCCCCACTGTGCGGAGGGTAATCGTAGGAGGGGAGACCAGTTTGTGAGGAGTAGGCGGAGTCAACTTTTTGACTGTCACTACTACTGGAGCGTGGGGAGCTCGGGCTGTGATGTGTCGGGGGAGGAACGTCGTAAGTGTCCTGAGCATTGTTCTGATCAGGGGTTATAACTCTAGGTGGGGGCACCTTGTATATACTGTCTATCACTCTTTCTAAGCGTTTTGGCGTATCATATGTTGATGGGTGAAACACATCATTGTCTATGTCAATGTGACCCTCCTTCACTGGAGGGGGAGGGGCATGTTCGTCTGGAATACTGTCCACACTCTCCTGTCGGTTTGGGGTTCGTTTTTTCCCTGAGCTGCAGTGCGCCAGAGGGATGTAGTCCTCCTGAGATTCAGGGGGCATCATGAACTCTGGAATCGTGGGCTCTGTTGTGATGGGGGGCACTGCCAGCACTGGTTTGGGTTGGGGGTTGTCTGGAGACGTGGAGAAACTGGTTCTAGGGTTATCTGTGACAGGCGGGGGGATGTCATCCGCTGAAAAAAAAAAAAACAATTTATATAACCTGTAAACTGGTTCTAGGGTTATCTGTGACAAGCAGGGGGATGTCAACCGCTGAAATAAAACAAACAATTTATATAAGCTGTAAACTGGTTCTAGGATTATCTGTGACGGGCAGGGTGATGTCATCCGCTGAAATAAAACAAACAATTTATATGACCTGTAAACTGTTTCTATGAATCTCTGTAACAGGTGGGGGTTAATTATATCCTCTGCTTATTTAGAACAGAACACAATCAAATTAAATATCCTGTAAACTGAAATAATATTCCATCAAAATCACAAGTTTTACTGTATACAGGGTTATTTTTACCTTTATCATTTAGAAAACAATTTTGTCCCACTTAAAATTCACCAAAAGTTTTGCTTATGCCATTATGCGGCCTTTTTTAAAATTTATTTTCCTCATTTTAAATTTGCCTACATGCAACCCGAGGCAAAAGGATAAAATAAAATAGGGGCAAAGGTTTCTCTGTGTACAGTCAAAAGTCACAGGAAAAAAAATTTACATATAAATTTGTCTTAAAATTTTGTAATTGAATTGAATTTAGAATGTTTTTCTATGGATATAAATACTATTCACAGTAAACATGGTTAATTGATATTAATCAACACAACAGACAAACAAATAAGCTAAATGAGATCTTACTTGTGGGATTTTCTTCCGGCTTTAATCCACACACACTACACAAATTGCGCACCCACGTGGTCATTTGTTCCTCCGTGTCGGTTGCCAGGAAATAAGTCCGCTCTTTATTCTTGTGGAAGGTCTTGATTGCCAGCAGGAAAGGGTAAAGTTCAAGGTCAAGAGACTCGATGATTTGTTCACAGTGTTCAAGGTCTATAACTCCTTTCAGCCGTTTACAGTTTTCATCGCTGTAGTAGTTCAAAACGTACTGGTGAGGCAGACTACCCTCGGGCTTGAACAAAACAAAGAACCTCTTCTTCCATCGCTGTCAAATGAGAAACAAACAATTCAATATTGGACTGCATGTTATTATAATCTTCAGCAGGAGACATTTTAATATCTGCTCCCACTTTTTCCTATCGACTGCATGAATAATTCACTCTAAAGCTGTACATTTCAAATATCAAGCATGAATATTTGATGAAAAGTATTTTGGCTTTCTTTCATTTGCATAAATTGTCATTCAGCGAAACACTTCAGAGGCAATGTTATTAATTAATATAATCTTAAGTGAATACACAAAACCACACTAACTCATGACCATCTGATGAGACCCTGGGTTAGACCTAATGCAGCTTTCTGTAACCAGATTCTGAGTCATTTAGACTCTTCAAGCCTGTTTAGTAATTAGCCTTCTATGTCTGGGGTGTATGTCCCGTAAATTAAGGATATCTCAACTTCTGAGGAAAAAGTAAGAATATCTCGACAAACAATTAGAAAGATCCCAGTCTCTAGTGATGACTCAGATAATCGGGGTCTGCAGAATGTTTCTTTTCCTCCCTGGCTTACTAGGACATCACAAAGATGAAACAATTAGTCATAAACAAGACAAAGCAATTAAAATTACACAGAAATGAACAACACAAAATACAGCCTTTAACTGAAACACTGAAAACTGTAATGAGATCTACAAAACTCACAATGTATCAAGAAACTTCACTAAAAACAATACAGTGTGATACACATGATCAGTAACATTATGCGGTGTCACACATCGGCCGTCCCACTTCTATAATATCCTAGACACGTCTGTCTTTACTAAATCTTGATAGAAATTTTGAAATGTCTGTCAGCTGTAATCCCTGCTAATTAATTCATCCAAAATGCTAATTATTCAAGCCCTCTATGTAAAATCTTTAAAATATTCTTCAAGAAAAGCGAGAATTGACCGATGGATTTCAGTGCTTGTCATGGAAAAATTTTCCAACACGGATCTAGAGCCTGGGCTTGTTCTATAAAACTATTTCTAACTCTCGAGTCTAGATGTTTATAAAGACACATACTCTGTACAATGTATCATAACAGTGACAACATCTGCCAAAAATAAAAGTTGATGAAGCCGAGAATTGATCACGCTGTGAACTTCAGAGCGTTTTACATTAGGGTCCTCCCATTATTTATATGCTCTTATGTTTACCTCCCCATGTTTACCTGTACTTTGTGAATAAGCAGACCATCTTCCCCGCCTAATGTCACATTATAATCCACCTCCAGAATCAGAAAGTTCAAGGCCACAAGAAACTACTACTACAGTATATTTTACAATGTCTTTAGCACCTCAGACCATAAAAAGATCCTGACATCTGACATTATAATTCTTTACAATTAAATGATCAACATGACGACATTAAAACCTGACTGTACACTAAATGGCAGCACTAGATATTTAGGGAGCAGACTGTGTATGCACATCTCTGTGATGAACAAAGAGAAGCTGTGAGATAAAAATATCACATTCCTGCTATAATTAGGAGGCTTCTGTTTTGTCAGCTTGTCCCTGAGAAATCTAGAGCCACGCGGTCGTCATCTCCAAAAACTCAGGGTTTTTTCCTGAGGAATTCACAAGATTTTATTAAATACTAACAATTTTAACTTCCAGCTACAACTAACATAGATTCTATACCTATACACTGGAATGGCCATATTGTGCCATTCTAATTACGTACAGAGCAGCTGAGCAGTACATTTAACATTTTGGACAAATGTTCACCACACAGGATAGATGGTGGGAGTGAAATGCCATAATTAAGTCATCTCTACATATTATCCTTATTAACAGTAATGGACCTTCATGTGAATGATATCATTATCCATATTTATGTAGATAATTCAATATCGTGACAGCCAGGTCTGCCAGTATCCTAATCAGCATCGTCTCCATCAATCTAATTACACCCACCTCCCTCAGACAGTCTCAGACCAATTCTAAATCTTATTTTATCACATGTCCATTTCAATGCGGACAGAGAGCATCACACCCAAGGCCATCCTTAAAAAATTGTTTTTTTGCGGTAACGCGACCGACTCACCAAAATCCACCCTACTGGATTTTTTTTATGGGTTCAAAAAAAATTTTTTTTTTTTTTACATATCCATTTTCTTAGTTTATCCTATTAACATTTTTTTACGTCCCCATCGCACCTGTAGACGCCGTTTTTAAAAAAGAACTGATGTGTTCTGATATTTGAACAATAAAAGATTGGATTCATTAAGAATGCCTTAATTTTCTTGTTTGATTAGTATCTTAAAGTGAAATCTAAGACATAGTTAATACCTCTATATAATCGAAATTTAATTCTGACTTTTTGTCTCCAAAAAAAAAAAAATAAGCCTATCTACCTACCCACACCTAAAATGATGAGGCGCGTTACTGCAAAAAAAATTTTTTTAAGGATGGCCCAATTGTAATCTATAGATCCCTTCATTCCAGTAGAGGGTTTATATCAGGACAACTGGTAATAAAAAGTAACTCTAAACTCATACCAAAGAAACATCATGATATATATAATTTTTAAAACAAATACCTGTATGACCTTAACCTAGACAGAGATGACCTTCACCTTCAGTCACCTACAGGACATTAATCCCAATCACCTTACTGACCTTTCACCCAGAACCTGAACTTTAACCTTTCACTTGACTGACACCCTGTTCTTATTAAGTCCAGTACATGACGAGTTTAACTGACATCTTTATCTATAAGTTAATAGCCACAAAGTGGTAGAGATTTCTCACATCAAGCTCCAGCCATTAAAATGTCAGTTTTAAATTAATAAATTTTGACAATAAATGTAAATCATTTGTACTTGTTACATAATGCATAAACAGAAAGATAAATTGTTGTCAAATGTTTCGTATTAACATAAATGATATCTGCCAGTGAACAAAGGGGATATTATTATTAAACATAGATATAACATCATACTGACCTGAGAGAAAGCCAAGGTGACAAATACTACTTACTAGATAGGTAACATTATTTTTCACTCGGTCGTGAAAGTGGTAAGTCTATATGTAAACAAACAATGTTCAAGTGGTCACCCTAATGCTATACTATGACCCTTCAACTCCGCGAATTTAAAAACCTGTGACATAGGATACAAATATTACTCAGTAAATCCAAACAACGTTCACAGCTTGTCCGGCTGGTTTTCAACTTACAGGATGTGAAAAATACAAATAAAAACAAAACAGAAATACAAACTGGAAATGTTTTTAGTCCCACCCATCTAAAAGAAAAGTTGATATAACAATACTGAAAGATTAAAATCTACATACATGGCTATCAAGTAAAATAAAGCATAGGAAATAAAGAAGGGCTATTTTACCTTCCATATTTACCCCCAGACTTAACATTCTATCATTAAATACCTTCAGCTGACTCACTTATTTCATGCACCAGCTGATTAGTTAATGTATATTTTGTGATCTTAGTGTATATAAAGATGTTACAGAGCCGTCATGCTATAGGACACCAGAAATTTGATCAGCAATCCATAAGCTCTAATCTGAGGGCCCCACAGGACTCAGAGCTTCATAGATAAGTAGCTGACAGGACAATCACCCCCCCCCCCACACCTTCCTCAGACTGAAGTAACCTAACACGATACACAGCCATACGCTATAGGAGCTCACACACACAAAGAACCAATTACTTCTGAAATACAAACTGTCAGGCGTCTGGAATTCAAACTATGTTTGTCAACATCTCTTAGCGTGAAGATCATGGGTTATTTTTAGACTTTAAAAGTGCCCCTAATTCACTTTCACTTTCGAGGTGGGGGTGGGATGAGGTGGGGGTGGAGTTATGCAGCTTTCACTGTACAGCTGGATCCAGGGGAGGGGTGGGGTAACGCGGAGTAATTCACTTCATCATTCAGGATGTAAGGATCACTTTCAGAAGACAGTCAATGAAACGAGACTCCCATTAAATGTGTGAGAACCCAGAAGGACAGAACAGGAAAACCCTGAGTTGTCCATTAGTAGATAAAGGATGATAGGGACATTTTATTTCTTCCTTCTCCTGTGACAAGATGAGATTTCCCTCTAGATATAAACCAAGTTTTAGATCAGGGGCCATAGATCAGGGCTCTAAGGTCAAACACAAGAGACTTAGTGCTGGGTATCAGAATGGCTCATTCACTTCCCTGACTTAAACCTAAATGACAGATAATGTCTCTTCATTATCAAATCAGTAAATTTCCTAACCTCCATTAAAAATGTTAAATTCTTAACCATTTATAAACAAATAGACCTTTATAGTCCCTAGAACTCCTGCCCAGTGTAATCACTGATTGATCCAAAACTGATAAGAGTACCACAAATTATTTTCTGTAAGTATTCAATCAGACACACATCTTACCTGACTTTGGCGTATTATTCCTAATAATTACACAGGTATAAAATAACTGACGGAGCAGGTATCATAAATAGCGGGGTCCTGAGTGATGAGGGGTCAGACCGCGGAGTGTGACTGACAATAGACGAGCCTTAGTTCTGTGGCCAACACGGAAGACAGGTGCTGAGGACCCATCACGCCTGAATGATTTCTACACACGACTAACATTAACGTAAGACAAAAAAATATATATCCACTCATTAACGTCAGCAAATGGACAGAAATTTCCTCAAGAAACAATCAGTAACTTATGATCTCTCAGTGTTTGTAAACAAAATCACAGCTTGTTTACAATGCTGAAAACAAATCGATTTTTAGAAAACAACCAACTCAGGACAAGCAGGGGGAATTGAACCACAAACAAGGGAAGGAATGGACGCTACCCCTGGATCAGTACATGTAATTGTTTTATTCTTAACCTCAACCACAGATGTGCAAGTTATTGACGTTCTGTACTCCGTGATAATTAAAATTAGAAATGTTAATAACTTATTAATCATTACTAAATTACTGTATTAAAATCATGAGTACTTTTTGTGAAACAATATGACCTGTCAATATTACCAATCATACATAGAAAACTTCTAAGAAGGGTAATTTTAGTTGGGATATCCATTTTATCACTGCTTCAAAAATGTTTACAATTTTGATGACTTCATAATAAGATAATTTTTTAAAAATTATCATCACTTAAATGATTTCCAAGAAATCAGCCACTGCTCTTTTGTTATCAGAAATGACAACTTATAATTTTTCCTGTACTTTTAAGATTTATTTGTCAGTATGTCAAATGCAAGGAGAAGAGTTGCAGTGACAATTAGAATATAAATGATAAAGACATAAATCAAATAGCCACGAACTGTCAAATATATCATGTGATTGACAGTACGGCTGTCTAATTCATACCAAGAGACGAATTTAAGTTAATATGTATAATTTTTTTCCCAGTCATGCACGGAATGTGTGAATTCATATTTCTCTAAATTCTCGTTTCTATGTAAACAAACAAAGTAAAATAGTTTGTAAATCAAAAATAAAACTTTTCATGCACTTTACATTCTTGAAACAAGGAAAGAAGTTTTACGATAAATTTATAGTGAATAAAACCAAAATAATCATGCGAATCAAAAGTTTCCTTTAATCAAAATAAACAAAACGCAATAAACATGCACACCAGGACATTCCTAAGAAAAGACCAAAGTACTAACAATCCAAATGACTGATGGAAGATGTGCATATTAAATACTGAGTTACAGTTATGAGAGGTCTGTTAATAAAGATTAACATCAAAGTAAATAGGGTTCCATCAGTCATCCAAGTTAGAGAAACTGAAAGTTGAAAATGAAAATAAACCAATACACGATACACTTACTGTTGTGTCCATCACATCGGGGGAGAACTGGCAAAAATAAAACACATCATAAACATTAACACATAACACCAAACTTACTTCTACGAATTTACGTCTTCACTCCAAAGGGAATCAAAAGAAAGTAAATTATGAAACAAACATTTATTTTCATCCTGCTTTAAAATGAAGCTTTCAAAACAAGAAGACGTTTGAGGCAGATGTTCTAATGTCAATCAGCAGGTTAAGTTTTGTGATAGGACTTGAATGGAGAGAAGGTTTGTACACCAGGTGATGTCTTACAGAGGATAAACACGACACAAAAGCTGTGTTTATCCAGGTATATCACTGACAGATTGCAGGCGTGGTATCGGGGCCTTCATCAGACCGGGCTATAGAGACCTCATCAGGGTTACCCCCGACAGGTGACAATCGACTCACAGCTGACGGCCCCCACCTCTAAAGGTACAGGACAACCCCGTAATCTATATATAGACACTGTTAAATTCCTTGTTAATGTCCCTCAAAACTCATGATGTCATAAAAAAATTATTTTTCTGTAATTCTCTGCAATGAATTCAAGTTTGATTTTTAAATATAATTACTTATTTTTCTTAGATAATTTTCTTCATAATAATTATTATCATTTCAAACATGCATATACATGTACATATAACCTTTGCTGATTAATAATTAAATTCAAGGTAAAACATTTAATACAAGTTGTCCCCCTTTGTACACTTTGCTATTAGAACAGAACACAGTACACTCAACCCTTTTCCTCTAGGCAAATGAAATTGTCATCAATAAAATTATGCTTGATAATTTACAATATCTGTTTTCCTAATTCAAATTTGTTTTATTGAATTTTTTTATAGTATTAAATGCCTACAAAGTGTCTCTAAATGCGGTATTTCCCAGAGATCTGCTCTGACCATTCAAAATGATCATAAAAATAAAATGTCATACAATATCCTTACAGACATGGTATAAATACTATAAACATGATAAAGTGGATGTGTCCTACTTCTAGCAGACAGTTAACTGTGTCAGATCCAGTGACTGGTAGAGATGACTTAGATCGGATCTGAGTCATATCGTGGATTAAGGAAGTGTCCCAGTAGTAAATTTATCTCTTGTCAATATTTTCTGAAAACAGTTCCTTACCATTTATAAAATAGTATTAGCTGATAGGAGAGCATTAATGATTTTGCCTTCAACATGAACTAATTTACTGAATATACATACTGGTATTGAACAAAATACATGCAGCCCAAAAGGCTTTTACCATCACCTGAATGTAAAAAGGGAAGTTTCAACCTAACAACATTAGAAGTTCTAGCTTATAAAATTCAAAAGACATTTACGGTCAAACCCCATTTTCTCAATGGCACCAAGAAAAAAAAAACTTTGAAATGCCTGAGGATTTGAGATTTTTGGGGTAAAATACTTAATATATAAGAAAATTTTTATATATTATAAAACTTAAATCTATAACGTTAAAAGACTTTATAATTTAATATATAAAACCAAAGAACCAATAACCACCTGTAGGGTCAATGGTATCTGTAATATTCATTTGTACTAAGTACAAGTCAAGACATTTTCCAAATACTTTAAAGGCCTATATATATCAATATCAGCTTTTAGATTAATCAGTACATAGTACACATTCCTCTCAGTTTATCAAGTGGAACATTAAATCATAAACCCTAATCCTAAATATACCACTCAAATCCTCAGGTTACATGTTTAGAAAGCAGACCCATTCCTGCTCAGGGTCTAATTGGTAAAACACAATGTGACAGTTAATTAAAGAAGTCTTTGTTGTGGTCCCATGATTTGATGATGATCTTATATTTATATATATACACTGTATCTGTCTGCTTTATATTGAATTTGAAATACAGATTTCTTTTAAAACAAGTTTTATAGACATATTTTATACATATATAAATATATTTTTGTCTATAAGTAATTTAATATATTTTATAATTAAACTTTATTAAAGATATATTAATGCTTTATATTTTTGTTTGTTTGTTTGTTTGTTTGTTTTGGAAAATAAGAGCAAGATAGATTTTTGATTTTTTCAAACTCTTGTATATATTTTTTCCTTGTTTAATTAATTATAAATTAAACATGCAACCACAGGGGGATGGTAACATACTATATTTGATTCTATGTAATCACTATGTAAATTATATACCAGAGTGATAATGTAAATCAAATATAGTATGTTACCAGCCCCTGTGTATGCAACTTACATTCTAGGGATAACTGTATTTTTTTTATTTTATTATATTACGGAATAAGACGAACAATTGTTTAGTGTTCAGTTCCTCAATGTGACACTACATAATTATTATAAGTGCACAGCCACTTCTACACAGGAGATATTAATTAGAAAATTAATCATTTTAGACAATTCTGTATTCCTAAATACAGCACTACAGTGAAATTAAACTTAGTGCACTTTTAATCAGTGTATATTGATTTGAAAATTGTGTTAATACTTTCACAGTTCAAAATTGCACGGAGGAATTAAATAGTCCTACTAATGCACTATTTGCTATCATGACAGATAGCTCTCTGACTCAATTTGTAAAACTGATGACTACTATACAGCAATAAGCAATTACTAGTGCAATGTGAAAAACTGCGCTTGACATTTATTTTTTCATGGCTTTCATGCACTGATAAATATGTTCTGTAGAAGAAAATTATATGGACTGGTCAATCCCACAGAGTTCTGTGCATATATTGTTTATTTAAGTCCCTCTTGAAATTTTTCACTCCTATGGAGACTCCACTATTTGCCGGTGGAGGGCTACAAATTTTGTCCTATACCCTGCACTCATGGCCATGCCCAATAAGCAAGGTGGGATCTTTTTCATGCTAACACCTACTCTGACATAGATCCTTGGTTTAAAATATCTCATCTGAAGGACAAGTCTCCCTATCCTACTTTGGGATTCGAACCAATGATGCAAGGATCAACTCCTTACATCGCAACTCAAGTTCAGATGCTCTAATCACTGCACCATGCATGCAACTCACACAGAGCTAAGAATTAAAGGTACTAAAATCTTTAACAGACAAATAACTGGTATGCTACTTACCAATGTACAAAACAATTATTCAGTATTGTATCTGCAGAGAATCATTAAGAGCACTATTTCATATTGTATCAGACAATGGTTTAGTGCCGTGAAATGACAGTCTTCGACAAATCCCGGGAGTCCGATGCCCGGGACCTGGTAAAATTGGTAGCGGGCATGTGGAAGTTGCACACTTACAAGCCCGAAGGGCATGTAAATTTAGGCATAAACCGTGGTATAATTAAATTAAATAATACCAATAACATTAAATGTACTTTAAAGTCTTTTATTTTCCATCTAAAGTAAAGTTCAAAATAAAATTTAATCGAAATCTTATTTTAGTGGCTTAGGAACTCTTCTGCAGAGGAGACACAAAAAGTGTACAGGTTGAAAACATATGGCGAGACAAATGGATTCAGGTCATTTCCTTGGCATGAATAGGCAAATAACAATAATATTATAACTTTAAAATTGATAAAATTCTGGGCATGTAAATATTTGTCGGGCTTTTTAATATTGTATCACACCTGGTTTAGGGCATGTGCTGAAAAAAAAATTTGGCGAAGACTGAAATGATACCATGATTCCATACATTAAACTGATTAAAGTCTTTCAACAAATTATTAAGTTCTTGAAAATGGCACAGGAGCTAAGTGTCCTTTTTTATACAAACTACCCACCCCCAAGAAAAGAAAATCTTACATAGCTATGCATTCTGTAATTTTCCTAGAGCAAGTTTATCGATAAAATATCAAATCTTCAGTTGAATCATAAGTACTATTAAACTAAATTAAGTCTTAATTATTAGAAATGTTGAATCTCAAGGCTAAATTTTAGAATTCTGTCTTAAAATGCTGTGTTAATTTGATCTAAATATAGAGAGAATTGTCATGAACCTCTTAACTAATTCCTTTCCCTTCAAGTTGTTCTTTAATACTATAACAATCAATTTCTCCTATTCACATCATAATCATCTGTCACAGTTTTCTTCAGCAATGACATTAAGTGGGGAAGTTGTTTTATTTTCCACTTATAATGATTCAAAATAACAATTTGTTTAATTCATTTTAGATGCATTTACTGTGAAGTCCACAATGGTTGATATTGGTTCTATCAATACATTCTTTATTTATATATTTTTTTTTAATTACTAATTGTTTCAGTCACTAGCACAACCACTACGTGACATTTTGCAGACTGCACAATGAAGTATGAACCTCTCAAGAAATACTACTACTTCATTGTTAGCCAAGAAAATTGACAATTTAAAATGAGTGAATTTAAAGTGCTGCTTGTAGTTTTGAACAATATAAAGCTTAGGAAAAACAGCTTTAAAATGAATAATCGAATTTGCATAGGTTGCCATATTACAGATTAATGCACATCAATGTTGAATGCCTTGGCCTTTAACTCTGTTAAGTCAGTATGTCAACATTTCTTATATTGACACTGAAATTATTGTATACAAGAGGACCAGTAGAACTGCAGTAAAAAGTACATATTAAAAGACAAGTCTCAACTTATTCACTACATTCATCAGTGTTGAAAGAAAATACAGGGTGGCAATAGGTTAAAAAAAGGCAAAGAATGGCATTATAGTAAATGCTGTCATCACATAAGATTTGTTTGTTAAGTTAAATACTTATAAATTCCATAGGTTTGGTGACAAGTGGAAAGACATGATAATTGACCATCCACTTTTACATGTAACATGCTGTATAATTCCTACACCTTGCTTTAACTTAAGACATATGATAATCATGATAATTGAGTGTTAACTTTCACATGTAACATGCTGTATAACCATGATAACATGTATAATTCCTACACCTTGCTTTAAGTGGGTGACACTGGACTGACTGGTGGATGTGTGAAGGATGAGCCTAGCTACTTATGTTAGAAATGTACAAGTGATGTAATGATTGCACTAAATGAACCAAAAACATATACATATACCTACATCCTCTGTCTAACTAAGCTATATTAAGTTGTAACTATTTACATGCATGCAAAGCAGTACACTTGAATGCTTATAATTATGTAATCAACATGTTAAAGCTAGAAGTGTCATTTTTTTAATTCTTTTAATATCTTTTTTGCATCCAGCAATGAAAGTTAATTAGCATGTTATCATGGTTATACAATTTTGAAGTTCTAAAATTGCAAATGCCACTCTCCATTTAATGCTGGCATTCTGTACCACTGTCAGAAATCCTATTTTAGGAATTTTCCAAGTTATATTTCCTAAATCATGGTAACACTCTTTGATGCTTACTGGTATTTCCCCCCTTTTAATTAAAAATATTTCCTTGCTGTCAAAAAATCCAAAGTGCATTGTTTTGGTCAGTCCAGCTAGTCTCATTAAGTGAATTTACACACATTTGTATTTGCCTATCATTGAACAATTGGCATTAATATTAATTTCCATATTTTAAGATACAGATATTGCAAAAAAGTAAACAGTGTCACTTCTGTACCACCTACTGGCTACAGCTGACCTAATGGCAGAATATTTCAGTTCTCCGAGCTCAGTCAAAATAGTTCTATATCAAAATAAACATATTAAATGACAAATGAAATAAAATGTATCAGATCTAGCTATATGCTTACAGCTCGGAAAATTTTCCACGCCCCAGTCAGGCGAAATTTCTTCTCCGGAGGGGATTTGACCATCCATCCCGAATACACAACGTTCGCGATCTTATTCATGTCTACTTTCTCTCTACCTCGCCCAATCAAAAAGTCATCCTAACCACATTGCTCCAAAAGAAACCATATCCGACCAACATACAGTTTCACCAATTCATCTTTTTTCAAGAAGATACAGGAAGTGTATAAATTTTGTTGTTTTTCTGCCAAACTCAAAATAATGGCTTCTAAGTAGTTTCCGGAAATAATCTGTGCATGTAACGTCGATTTCTATTGGATGTTAAAACATTGCACTGTCAAATGAAAATCATGAATGCATTCCTCCAGGTACTTGAAAGAGAAAATAGAAACAGGTAGATATACCGTGACTTTACGTAAAAAGGTTTGAGCTACAGATTACAAATCTTGTGGAAATGGTTGTTGCAAAAGTAAGTTTTAATTTTGTAATTAAAAAGGTTAAACGGGAAAATAAATATATTTTTTCCATGTTGAAGTTAGTCTTTGGCCTTACTTGGAAAACACAAAATTTCCAAGTACTCTCACAGATTGTCATTTACTCAAATAATAAACTTGAAAGTTTCAAGTTGAATGAAATACATTTTACCATAAACAATGTGTTTAAAGCCTTGTTTTTTTTTAAATTTATTTAATTACCTATATGTACAGTGCTGGCAGTGGCTAAAACCATGACAACCACTTTAGGAATATTTTCTAATAAGATTATCTTCCTAACAACCATGATTTTGGTAAGTGGAGAATTGAACTTTAATTTAAATTTCTCAAGATATATTGCATATATATACATATTCACTGTCCATTTCATCTTCAATGGGAAAAAAAAATTAAAATTGTGGCTCTCGATCAATTCATTTGCCTGCGTGGCACGGTGTCAGTGGTTAGAGCTTCTGCACTAGAATTGTGATGTATGGAGTTGATCCTTACATAGCAGGTTCAAATCCCAATGGGGATGTGGTGACCAGTCCTTCTGATGAGACTGTATAAACCTAGGTCATGTGTCGCAGTAGGTGTGGGCTTGAAAAAGAACTCTCACTACTCAATGACCCTAAGTGCTGGGAATAGGACAAATTTACAGCTCTTTACTGGCAAATGGTGGCATCTCTAAATAAGTGAAAAATTCTGAAAGGGACATTAAACAACCAACATTAACCTCTTTCATTCAATTCACAACTAAATGTACAACTGGAACCACTAAACCACCCAATCCTAATGCAAAACTGACAGGTACAGATCTGTATCATTTTTCTAGACTGAATAATGTTATGTCCCAACTCAGGCATCATTATTGATGAGGCATAATAAGAAAATATATGTTTGTTTATAGAGCTGGGTATCGCGACTGAAAAATCGTATCGCGATATATTGCAATATTATATTTTGTATTGCAATATATCACAATATAAAATTTTTAATAAATTTTGCTGTCAATGTCAATGAAAACACAAACTCAAATTACATGTATTTTTGATATTGCAACTACATAGTCGCGTTGTGTCGGCGCAAGTGGCAAAAGTTTTTTGTGGCAAAAGTACAGAAACAAATATCGGCTTTAACATGAAGGGGTTTCATGTAACAGTTGTGTCTTTTCGTTTCTGACAAGATATATTCTGATCACACTTACGTCGCTTGCCGCCATATTTTACCTTGAAAAGGGCAAATAATTCTTTTTATAACAATTTATAGCATATCGAACCCGAACCGGTATTCACAAAAAAATACCGCGATACGTATTGTGAAGAAAAAAATCGGGATACACCGGTACCGGTAATATCGCACAGCACTATTTGTTTATGGTTACCAAACTGACCCTATTTTAAAGCGCTGACCCAATTTATTTTTCATCATGAAATTCCAGTAACCACTGGCTGATCAGTTTAATTTTACATCATTTTAGTTACATAGTTAATACATAGTCAAACGTATGAAATCAAAATCGAAAGTACAGAAACAATGTTTGTTTCAAATTTGATTACCATTGTGTGGTAGATAATGATATAAGGCACTTAGCAAGAAATAGGTTTATGTTGTCTATTTCCAATATGACAAGCCCCCTAAAAAGGAAAGCACCACACAATGGTAAAACTATTTTTATTTCAATCAATTCATGTGAATTTGTGTGTGTAAAAAAAATCAAAAAACTAAAAGGAAATCCTTGTAACCATCTAACCCTATTCATTTCAGCAAATGAACCTTTTTTTTTTTTTTGTTTGGCCTAAAGTTGATAACAAACAGTAAGATAAAGAATGTGATTCCCCAGCTTCAATGTTTTTGTTTACTTGTGTTACAGAATGACATGACACTATATCATAAAACTGAGCCATAAATGGAATTGATTGGATGCACCCTTGATAAATAAAATATATCAAACAAGATGTGTTTGTGAAACAATATGCGCCTGGCAGCAACAAATTTAAAAAAAATATTTTTAGCATAAAGGTCACATTGAAGGTCACGAGGTCATTGATCTTGGTGTCATTTGAAAGAACTTGGTTAGTGAAGTATGCATACCAAATATCAAGTCTCTATCTTTCATGGTTCAAAAGTTATGGTGAAGGTTCAAAAAAGCTATTTTTAGCATGTAAGACACAGTCAAGGCCACAAGGTCATTGACCTTGGTGTCATGTGAAAGGGATTCATTAGTGGAGTATGCATGTCAAATATGAAGTCTCTACCTTTCTTCGTTCAAAAGTTATGGCGAAGGTTAAAGTTTGCCGTCAAAAAAAGCTATATTTAGCATATAGGCCATAGTCAAGGTCACAAGGTCATTGGCCATGGTGTCTTTTATAAAAGCTTAATAAGTGTTGTATGTATACCAAATATGAAGTCTCTATCTTTTATGGTTCAAAAGTTATGATAAAGGTTAAAGTTTGCAAAAAAACTCTATTTTTAGCATATAGGTCACAGTCAAGGTCACAAGGTCATTGACCTTGGTGTCATTTGATAGAGCTTCATTAGTGGAGTAGGCATACCAAATATGAAGTCTCTATCATTCATGGTTCAAAAGTTATGGCAAAGGTTAAAGTTTGAAGACAAACAGACAAATAGACAGACAGACAGGACAAAAATATATTTTAAAAATGATATATATATCTGTTCCACGTGCCCTTAATTATTAAATGAATTTAAGACACTTGTCACATATAAAAGCTTTTGAATGAATTACCAAGCACTTATACTCTCACTTCCTTTATCTATGTCTGGAGAGTGTTTTTTTTAAATCAAGTAATTGAGGCTTTTAGAATTTTGATACTTGAAATGATATATATTGCATGTATTGTGTTTCAAAACTAAAGGTTAAGGTTTGTAAATTTAATACTTTAGATACATTGTATTTGAAACTATTTGAAAATGATTCTGAAAACTCAAAATCTGAAAATGCAAAAGTTTTTTGGGGGGAGGGTTATTCAAAATTTGCATGCTTGTATCAATTAATTTAAATTGTTAAAAATCTAAAAGCTTTAAAAGTTTGAATTAGAAGTTTGAAGTGAAGTATGACATGTTTTTATTTAACAAAAATATTTCTGATTTTTAAAAAAAATTTCTGTACAACATTTACAAACCCATAGTTTGATCATGTTGATGTACAGAGAAATTATTTTGGAAATTTGAATTTTCAACATTTCATTTTCAAGTATTAAATAAACTAAAATTTTAGAACAAGGTTTTGAATTAAAAGAAAATGAAAGTAAATATTTAATCTTAAAAATTTATCAAATTTCACAATACAAAATCAGCCTTTCACTTAACATAATTTTCAATATTAAAATGTTATCTTTAGAGAAGGAATCCCCCCCCCCCCCCCCCCCCCCCCGATACTACACAAGCATAAAATTATATTTTATATCTTCAATAATTTACAGATGTATGGACAAAGTGCTTTAAAAGTGGCATATTGTGTCCCATGACTTTATGATTGAATGCTGTGGAATTTTTGTGGTCATGGGTTTGATTCCCTTTTGACTTTCCATTTGAATAAGATTAAGTTTCCATTGCCATAATATTTTCTTGTATTTGGCCAATAAATCAATAAAACATATGAGGGATTGAGTTGAAGGTGTAGTGTTAATCAGCTTTAATCAGGTACCTTTAAATTTGCCACCTTAAAGCTTCATTGACCATCAATATACCACTAGCTCGTTGTTAACAGTCCACTGGGTAATGTACTCAAAACAATGAGTCACTCTCTCTCTCATCACTAACTCGCCCTGCCCCCAGTCCATAGTCTGATATCTGTATGATCTGTGGAATTTATCTTTTTGTGGGAGAATGACAGGTAAATTCCTTTGTTTATTTTCATTGACATCATTATTATGCACCTGAACAGGTAATTGGCTCTCACCTGAGATGTGTATTGTGAGGAATTGTGTATTGTGTAGTCAGGTGTGCATTATTTCAGGCTCATGTTGTCAGGAGTTGTATTGCAAAAAGGCATCCTATGATAGATATAAAGAATTATTGACAACTGCACTTACAAAGACACGGTAATCTCTTTATTAATTGAAATTTAATGAGTCTTCAACAGAAGTTGACCTCAGTGAATTTCACACGGTATGTTCAGGGGGGTTCATTGTTTGTGTTTCAATAACAAGGATGGACAAACATTTGTTTTTGCTTTATAAATGCTCTAGTTTGTTTATATAGGTAATTGTTTGGGGTGTAAAATGGACATTATCGCAAGAACTGGAATGTAAATTTTAGCATTGCCTTGGGGGTCCCTCTATCTATTGTGATGCTTGAAGTAAGTAGTGGCATTGTCTTATCTCACCTGTATCATATAGAACAGGTAGACACAGGTAGGCTGGGAAATTCCTGTACACCTGTGGGAGAGATCTACCTGGATAACATGCCTAACATATCCATGTCTAGATGAAATCTCATAGGGTCTGGAATTTCAAGGTACATTTAACTATTTATATATGTATATACATGTACATGTATGATGTAATGCTGCAGCAAAGTGTTTGTTCTATTAATATCCCCTGTCCGATAAGTGATTACCAGACTAATGGAAATTACTTAAAATCATTTCTTTTCTGAATACAAAGCAGCCTAGTTAGTGATTTTGACCCACAAAGATTTTTCTGATTAACATATTTGAGAATGTTCCATCACTGCTTAGAAAGTATGAGATTTCTAGATTTTTTAAGATAATGCCATTTTTTAAATAACTGTTTATCAAAAGAATTTTGCTGACTGTCAGTTTGAAATGTTATCATTATTGCTGTCCCTATTCAGCTGTACAGAGTTGTGAAATCTGATGACGGATTCCTATCTGGGGGCCATCACAATTGGGAGGTGGTCCGTTGATCCCCTTTGTTTTTGGTTACCTATCTGTTCTTTCTTTGTGGACACCTGATTGTTTTTTATTTGGCCCAGAGTCGATACACACCTGTACGCGTCCCTCAGAATACCTACCACATACAGCATTAAAACAATCCAATCTATGATTCCCCGCGATTCCCTGCTAACCAGGGCACCCGTTTTGATGTGTACAAGGTCCACTGGTTAGCATTGATTAGCTTTTATATTCCCATATAATTTCTAACCGCAAAAAAATCGGGTGAAGGTAGAAATCACCCGACTTGAATAGAACTTAAACCCCTCACACATCTAAAAACTGTGTGGTATTTGTTAATATATTCAGATTTACAACATAAACCCCTAAAAGAATGTTTTTAATGATTGATTGCGGGCATGGATTAACAGTTTGTCTAAGTCCTGATCAGTACAATCGTAGAAATCTCAGAGCCTTTAAACGAGTGATGGCCCTGCACCGAGTGGCAGTCTACTAAACAGGTATGATGTGTTTATGTGGGATTGATGATGTGCAGGGCTCTGTGTGAGTGTTATCTGTCTCTCCCGGCCCCCTTTGATGGAGATGACCCATCACTGCCTGCCCAGACTTTGTTAGTCATTATCATTTGTTATTCCCGTGCCATTGGTTTGGGTTTCCGCCTTTGTCCACTCAGTTGAAGGGGACAGACAGACAGGTGCATAGTTAAGCTTTGTTATGACATTCCAATCTCAGTTTGTTCAACATTGTATCTGTATTTAGTCCACAGTGACATGGGATATTTCTGTGTGTGTGTCCTGAATAATCCATATTTCACAACAGCATATTTTAAATCTAAGAAGTTCTAGGATGTGGACAATGGTTTATTTTCAGTGAGAAAAATTTAAATTGTGGTTCTGGATTAATGAAGATTTCTATTTGAAGTTCAAATCCAAGAGTGATAATGCTCAAAGACTTTTAAAGGAAGCCTGATTTTATATATATATATACTTAATTCATATTTAAAAAAAGAATGTTATTGCATTTTACATTTGTTTTATTTGTAATTTTGGATTTTTTGCATATTATGGGTTTGTATCTAAAAGTAAATTTAAAAAAAAGAAGCAAAAACTGAAAAATAAATATTTTAAATTTCAACTATTTAATTTATTTCAGAAAATATTGGAGGGTGATGGAGTGAGGTAGGAATGCATGAACCAATGGAAGTAGATGGAAGTTGGCCGTGTAGCCAGTGTACTCTCACCAACAGTGAGCTCACTAACGTCTGCCAGGCGTGCGGAACGGAACAAACCCCCGCCGTGTTTAACATCAAGGATACCATCGACAGAAGCAAAGGAGCCATCCCCAAAACAAAGGTCAGAAGGTCAAAGCCCTTAACAACCAGACCTTCTCCCCTGGGAGGGCCGGGAACCAGCTCGCAGCAACCGATTCTGGTGGACAGCGACGATGTGGTCGACGATGTGTGGAAATGTGGAAACTGTAACATGAAAAACTCCGGGAAAGTGGAGAACTGCATCAGCTGTAACGAGAATAAATTCAAAGAAGTCATAATGATTAACGACGATGATGAATATGTTGTTAAATACAACCACTGTAAGCCAGATAGTGATGATAAAGTAGAAACTGGTGGATCAGACCAAAGCAGGGATAAAACAAAGGCTGTGATTGGTCAGAAAAGTGAAGATGTTTGGCATTGTCAGAGGTGTACTCTAAAAAATCCAAAAGAGAACAAAAACTGTGAAGTGTGTCATTGTCCACAGGAAATACGGTTACCCACTCTGGATTCTGTGTCTGAGTTTGATGCAGCGAAGGTGGAGTACCCCACCACCAGTAAACGTGGAGAACCAGACGGGATGGAGTGTGATATCGAGGCAGGTGGTGCCACCGCAAGTTCACCACAACCCAAACCCAAACCTGGAGTTAATCCAAACCAAAGAAATAAACTCAACCACCCACGGGCTAAGTCAGATCCAGTGTTTATAGAGGATGGTGTAGAGTGGACTTGCCCTTTGTGTAGTTTTGCTTGTAACCCAAGCTGGAGTCCTAAGTGTACTAAATGTCAGAAGGGACAGGCCCCAGCAGTTGTTCCTGGAGCTAACCAGAGAGTTAAAACTCCAGGGGAAAAATTCCCTGCTATCAACAAGCAGCATTCCCCTCTGAAAAAGGCTCATTCTTCTCCAAGACAATCTCCTGACTCTGGTGATCGTGCAGAGAAAACAGACAAAAGATTCTGGGTGTGTAACCGGTGCACGTTTCACAATCTTGTGACGGAGCGATCCTGTAAGATGTGCGGGGGTCGTAGATCTACGTCAGAACTGGACGCTAAGAACTACTGGAGCTGTGGGAAGTGTACGCTACATAATCCAATCAATAGTGCTCTGTGTGCAGCTTGTGGATTTAAAAGGGAGGCTTCAAACTTGGAGCCAACGGAAATCAGAAGAAAGACACCAGTGTCTGAATCAAAAGTACCAAGGACTTCTAAATCTGCAGATAAACAGGAATCAGAGAAGAAAGTCAGAGAGGATGGTGCTAAAACTTCACCTGACAGTACAGCTAACAGTAAAACGAGTAATAACTTGGAGAACAATAAAGTTAAAGGAAAGGAACTGGAAAAAGAAAAGACACCGAAATCTTCACAGCAGAAGGAAAAGACACCCAAGTCATCGCTGGAGAAAGATAAGACCCCAAAGTCATCGCTGGAGAAAAACAAGACTCCCAAGTCATCACTAGAAAAAAATAAGGACAAAGAAAAGGGAAATAAAAGTCTAGAGAAGGAAAAATCCAGTAAAAGTTTAGAAAAGACCAAAAACAAAAGTCTAGAGAAGAATAACAAGAGTTTAGAGAAAGATAAACTGTGGTCTTGTTCACAATGTACATACAAAAATCCACTGAAAATGGCAGACTGTCAGATGTGTGGCAGTGAAAAATCCCACAGGAAACATTTTGATCCAAATCTCATCACTCTTCTAAGACAGCCAAGCTCCCTGATGGAAGATGTCCGAAAAATCGAGGAAAACGAGGCCCTAGAACTATGGCAACACATCACTTTGTTCTGTAGACAGGTAGGTGTCTAGTAACACATCACTTTGTTCTGCAGACAGGTGTCTAACAACACATCACTTTGTTCTGAAGACAATTGACTAGTAACACATCACTTTGTTCTGTAGACAGGTAGGTGTCTAATAACACATCACTTTGTTCTGTAGACAGGTGACTAGTAACACATCACTTTGTTCTGTAGACAGGTGTCTAGAAACACATCACTTTGTTCTGTAGACAGGTGACTAGTAACACATCACTTTGTTCTGTAGACAGGTGTCTAGAAACACATCACTTTGTTCTGTAGACAGGTGACTAGTAACACATCACTTTGTTCTGTAGGCAGGTGACTAGTAACACATCACTTTGTTCTGTAGACAGGTGACTAGTAACACATCACTTTGTTCTGTAGACAGGTGACTAGTAACACATCACTTTGTTCAGTAGACAGATATCTAGTAACATATCATTCTGTTATGTAGACAGGTAGGTGACTAGTAACACATCAATTTGTTTTGTAGACAGGTGTCTAGTAACACATTACTTTGTTCTGTAGACAGGTGACTAGTAACACATCACTTTGTTCTGTGTACAGGTGACTAGTAACACATCACTTTGTTCTGTAGACAGGTGTCTATGTTCAGGAGACAGGTGACTAGTAACACATCACTTTGTTTTGTAGACAGGTAGGTGACTAGTAACACATCACTTTGTTCTGTAGACTGGTGACTAGTAACACATCACTTTGTTCTGTAGACAGGTGACTAGTAATACATCACTTTGTTCTGTAGACAGAGATGTATGTTCAGTAGACAGATGACTAGTAACACATCACTTTGTTTTGTAGACAGGTAGGTGACTAGTAACACATCACTTTGTTCTGTAGACAGGTGACTAGTAACACATCACTTTGTTCTGTAGACAGGTGACTAATTACACATCACTTTGTTCTGTAGACAGGTGACTAGTAACACATCACTTTGTTATGTAGACAGGTGTCTAGTTACACATCACTTTGTTCAATAGACAGGTGTTTAGAAACACATCACTTTGTTCTGAAGACAATTGACTAGTAACACATCACTTTGTTCTGTAGACAGGTGACTAGTAACACATCACTTTGTTCTGTAGACTGGTTTCTAGTAACACATCACTTTGTTCTGTAGACAGGTGACTAGTAACACATCACTTTGTTCTGTAGACAGGTAGGTGACTAGTAACACATCACTTTGTTCATTAGACAGGTGACCAGTAAAACATCACTTTGTTCTGTAGACAGATATCTAGTAACATATCATTCTGTTATGTAGACAGGTAGGTGACTAGTAACACATCAATTTGTTTTGTAAACAGGTGTCTAGAAATACATTACTTTGTTCTGTAGACAGGTGACTAGTAACACATCACTTTGTTCTGTAGACAGGTGACTAGTAACACATCACTTTGTTCTGTAGACAGGTGTCTATGTTCAGGAGACAGGTGACTAGTAACACATCACTTTGTTCTGTAGACAGGTGACTAATTGCACATCACTATGTTCTGTAGACAGGTGACTAGTTACACATCACTTTGTTATGTAGACAGGTGTCTAGTTACACATCACTTTGTTCTATAGACAGTTGACTAGTTACACATTACTTTGTTCTGTAGACAGGTGACTAGTTACACATCACTTTGTTATGTAGACAGGTGTCTAGTAACACATCACTTTGTTCTGTAGACAGGTGACTAGTAACACATCACATTGTTCTGTAGACAGGTAGGTGACTAGTAACACATCACTTTGTTCTGTAGACAGGTGACTAGTAACACATCACTTTGTTCTGTAGACAGGTGACTAGTAACACATCAGTTTGTTATGTAGACAGGTGACTAGTAACACATCACTTTGTTCTGTAGACAGGTGACTAGTAACACATCACTTTGTTCTGTAGACAGGTAGGTGACTAGTAACACATCACTTAGTTCTGTAGACAGGTGACTAGTAACACATCTCTCTGTTCTATAGACAGGTAGGTGATTTTGTAACACATCACTTAGTTCTGTAGACGGGTAGGTGACTAGTAATACATCACTTTGTTCTGTAGACAGGTGACTAGTAAAACATCACTTTGTTCTGTAGACAGGTGACTAGTAATACATCACTTTGTTCTGTAGACAGGTGACTAGTAACACATCACTTTGTTCTGTAGACAGGTAGGTGACTAGTAACACATCACTTTGTTCTGTAGACAGGTGACTAGTAACACATCACTTTGTTCTATAGACAGGTGACTAGTAACACATCACTTTGTTCTGTAGACAGGTGACTAGTAACACATCACTTTGTTCTGTAGACAGGTGACTAGTAACACATCACTTTGTTCTGTAGACAGGTGACTAGTAACACATCACTTTGTTCTATAGACAGGTGTCTAGTAATACATCACTTTGTTCTGTAGACAGGTGACTAGTAACATCACTTTGTTCTGTAGACAGGTGACTAGTAACACATCAATTTGTTCTGTAGACAGGTGACTAGTAACACATCAATTTGATCTGTAGACAGGTGACTAGTAACACATCACTGTGTTCTGTAGACAGGTGACTAGTAACACATCACTGTGTTCTGTAGACAGGTGACTAGTAATACATCACTTTGTTCTGTAGACAGGTGAATATTAACACATCACTTTGTTCTGTAGACAGGTGACTAGTAACACATCACTTTGTTCTGTAGACAGGTGACTAGTAATACATTACTTTGTTCTGTAGACAGGTGACTAGTAATACATTACTTTGTTCTGTAGACAGGTGACTAGTAACACATCTCTTTGTTCTGTAGACAGGTGACTAGTAACACATCACTTTGTTCTGTAGACAGGTGACTAGTAATACATCACTTTGTTCTGTAGACAGGTGACTAGTAATACATTACTTTGTTCTGTAGACAGGTGACTAGTAACACATCATTTTGTTCAGTAGACAGGTGACTAGTAATACATCACTTTGTTCTGTAGACAGGTGACTAGTAACACATCTCTTTGTTCTGTAGACAGGTAAATTACTATTTTAAATGTTTTGAAGACATAACTACTCAACAATTCGTCATCCATGAATTGACATACCCAATAATACAAACAGTATTATTCTTATAGTTAATAAGAATATATGTACATATTTTTGGTATTGTAGGAATTGTGAATTATTAATAGTGACACATGTAGAAATTATGTGAGTTTTTAGTATTGATTAATTTGATTGTACCAAAGTGCCAAACTACTCTAAAGTCATAAATGATCTCCCATAACCATGTTAAACAGAGTGCATGGCTATTTTCTGAGTGAAAATTCTGGAGAGTGTAAATGTATAAATGAATGTTCTCAGTCGGTGACAGATGCAATCAATTTTAAAATTAATAAACCCTGAAAATTAACATATAAAAATCAGAGAGCAGTATTTGTATACTGGTATAGGCATGCTAATTAGATGATGTGTTAAATTTTGAGCACTCATTGCATAATTTGTACAGTTTGTTTAAAAATGTATTAAAGCTTACATTTATATGTTAGCATTTAAAACGTTTATGCCACTGATTGATGTATTTTAGTAAGAAGAAAGAAATTGTATACTAAGCTAAATAAAGCATCCATTAGCAGACTCCGTAGGTTTTTTAAAATCTGTTCAAACAGTATAATCAGAATTAGATATTCTAGAAATTAACAATGAATGCATCTATATATTCCTGTATAAATTACTTTACAAATCAACACACTGTCATTTATCTTGTCAAAATGGCAGCATACATGATTGCTGTCCACTTAAAAATTAAAAAGGCAGAAAATCAGAGTTTTTAAGCCAAACATAGAACAAATACCCTTGAGAGTTGAGAGAATATTGACTTATTTTTGCCGGTTAAGCAAACTTAAATCTGTAATTGAGGATCATTTAGTTTGACAATTACTCTTGTTTGGGTAATGATCGCATTATTTCTACTCCAACGAAACTCGGGCGTTTAAAGCCGTAGGAGTGGTGCGTGTAAGGATAAAATTGTCTTGACTTTTCAGAAGAGTGATCATAACTTGAATTTCTCAATGAATTTGTACAATTTATGCCCAATGATCAAAGAGAAAATAATTTCCTAAGTATTTTGATTTTTGAATGCATTTGTCATTTTTTATCTACCTTATAGATTTAATTATTGGGAATAGACATTTATAACCAAAAGACAAGCATTCCTTAACATTTAAGCTGAAATGATAAAAAAAAAAATGTGTGATTTATTTATTTACAACTTATTTATGTTTTTTCACATATGAAGCAGCATGAAAAAATTACATTTTGAAGGTTGAGTGCTTAAACACTATAAAAAAAAATTTCCCCTGATATACAGGTATATATATATGAATCTAGCTTTCTGGAAGATTCATTATTGAGTTAAATGATATCCATGTTTAGAAAAGGAAGACGTTTTTACCAACATACCATGCATACAGAAAATATCTACATGAAACATATCACAGAAAATGTATTGACAGTTCTAATACATATGTCAACTGTCAAGAATGTCAACTGATATAAAATAAGTATTGGACTGAACCACAACTAGTCATTATGTTTGCTAAATGTTACTGTTGATAGAGACTACCTGGGATGAAACAAGATCATCTGTAGCCATTCACTGAAATCTCTCTAAGTATGATACAGATATAATCTCTATTGTCCCATTATCAACAAAGTAAATTCACATGTAATTGATATTTACTAGAAGTCATTCATACCCTTGGGAAATATTAAAATGGAATGTTTTTATGGCAAACAACCCCTGCGAAATGATATTCATGATTTTAAGAACCTTTATGAGTTGTTCATAATTGTTCATGAATGCTTCTTAAAGGATTCTTAACAGGTTCATAAAAGTAGTTCAAGAATAAAATTCATGAAAACATTCATAATTCATAGTTCATGAACAAATGATGAACAAATATGAATATTGGTAATTTTCAGTTTAAAGAAAAAACTTAATAGTTCAAGGTGATGAATGTTCATGAATTTTCATGAAGACTAAAAATTTAAAAATAATTGTCACAAAAAATCGCCAGAAAACACTCATTACTCCCATAATACAACTTTTGCATGCAAATGCAATTGTTGAACAAGCCCCTGATTTAATTAATAATATGCTTTTGTTTTGATTTTGAAAGTATGGGATCAGAGCCGAGTAGGGGAACATAAGATGTTAAAATCATATTTTCTACTCTATCTAACTGATAACTTAGATTCTTCAGGATAATAAAACTCTGTTATGAACTGTCTAGAAGGGAAATTGTAATATTAAATTATGATCGTAATTTAAAAAACACTGCATCAATATTGACAGCATATTTTTCTCATATTGAATTACTAATGTTTCTACATCATTTAAATTAGCCAGCTATATTAATATTGTGCTTTAAATTATCTCATTTTTCACGACACAACTTTGTTCGACCGAATTTTCTCTATTTGTCAAACTTTTAACAAGTTGTAAGAAAATGAAACAGACTTACAGTCTAGGAAAAATTTCATAATCTTCGTAAAAACGTATCATAAATTTATTGACAACTAAAAAATTATATCTCTTTTCCTTACTGTACCGTAACATTCTTGGGTCGAAAAGCTTTATATTTTGTTGCAGTTATAAATCACATTTTTCTATCCATCGTGTGTAAATGATACAGCACAGGCTGCATGGTTGTGAAGAAGCTATGACATGAACCACATTCGTATTTTGTAGTCTATTTTCCTATACACTTTCATAGCTCAGGGTACTCAGTTTGAGGGCGAGTGGTTCCAAGAGATATTTGTTGTCCTCTGATATGGAGGCGGCCATACTTCAATACGAAACTATGGCTCTACAGGTATAATGTAAAAAATCCAATTCAATAAATGATATAACTTATATCAATTCAAAAAAATTAATTTCAGTGAAAAATCATTCCGATAGTATTTGTTATTTTTTGTTTAACAAAAATCTTGGCATTTCGAAACTATTTCTTAATTAGTTCTGCATTACACTTTTTAAAAGGCGCAAACTTTGAAACGCGCGAGAGGTTGGAAAGTGAATCGGTAGAGTGGGAGGATTATTAGCGTAGATCTAGTCATTCTTTGTCAACCTTTGGAGAAAATTACAGAATACGAAGAAGGAATATCCAGAGGATCAATTTACTTCATAACTGCAGATATTAGTGGTGAGTTACAAAAAAATGGAGGCAATCGAAGAATCTGTGAGATATTTGTCAAGATGTTACTGTCTATTTGTAAGAGTTCAGTTATGTCCTTTTTAATGAAAATTTTGTCAAACTTTGTTATGAGTAAGGATCCAACCAAATTACGTTACATTTAATAATTAAAGATTGAAACATTCATCCTGTTCACCTATAACATCTTGAACATGGGGGGGGGGGGGGGGAGGGGAACAGGCTAAAATCCCCCGGGGGAGGCTTTAAAATATGGCATTGCCTATGATGCAGAATTAAATGAAACAAATATGCAAAAAAAAAAAACCAATTAAGTCTTAAGTTTTCACATTTATGAGCATTTTCAGAAAATCTTTGTTCTTGTAGGGAAAGGAGAAGCAGTTCACAGATAATGTTGAGGAGTTGAGATCAGAAGATTAAAAAACTCTGGCTGTCCCCCCCCCCCCCCCCCCCCCCCCCCCCCCAAAAAAAAGGAATATAAAAAATCCAGGCTCTTGAAGAAAAACAAAAGAAAGGAATGAAAATATGAATCGTAATCGATCAAAGGATCCAAGTGATGAAATTTTGAAAATTCCACAGGGAAAGCCAGTAAGATATTTTTATTTGACCACCTCTGCTCAAAATCCTTGAAAGCCCTTAGCTGATGCCCTAATTGCTGAACACACTTTTCTGCAAGACAGTGAGACTTGGATTAAAAATCATTCCATTTTAGGCATACACTTTGAAATACGCTGAATATTTAGGAACCCACTTTCCTCTTGACCAAGTAAGGTTAAGGATTCTGCAAAGAGTCGCGTTTGAATTGAAATTTTTCATAATTTTACTAGGAATGAACTACATAATTTATTAATTATCGTTATCACTTATCAGAGTTGTTCACTTGAACAAAGATTGTTTATACCATGATTGGAAAACAAAAATTCTGTGAAATCTTTCAAGATGCTATTAAAATATTTTCTTTTACAGTTTTTCATTTTGCATAACTTATTACATCTTTGCTTACAAAAAGCAAGAACATTCATGAATAGTTCATGAACATTTCTAAATAACTTTTACAAATTATTCATGAATAGTTCATGAAAATGCATTGAACCTATTAATATCATTCATGAACTTTTCTTGAAAGTTCAAGAATATAATTCATGAACTTTTCTTGAAAGTTCAAGAATTATTCTTGATCATTTTGCAGGCATTTAAAAAATCCAAGTTTGTTCATGAACAACAAATAGTTCTTGAATATTCTTGAACTTAGTTTTCATGAATAAAATCCATGAAATCATGAGTGTCCAATTTTAACTTCATGGGATCTTCATGAACAATTCATGAGCTGATTCAAGAATATAATTCATGAACTTTTCTTAAAAGTTCAAGAATTATTCTTGATCATTTCGCAGGGGAAACTCAGAACATTTGCTTTATAAACTGCCCCCATGCTTTTGACATCATCATTTTGAAATGTTAGGTATAAAAATCATTTAAACTTCAAAAAGTCATTTTGTACTGAAACATAGCCATATAATATCCCAATTGATTAGATTTTATATGGAATATACTAGAAGAGAAAGGCATTAAAATATGTCTAGCTTTCAATAACAAGATCTTTAAAAAATGATGCTTTGTTTATAATAATTAAATATTGAATTTTTGGCAGCTAGTTCATATTCTTTTATTGTATCATTGAAAGGTAGCTTCAGATTTTTTTTTTTTTTGCTTCCCTTAGAAGATTTAAGTAGGAAAGATGTGGATACATTTTGTTTTTCAAAATTTTGTTTAAATTTTTGACTTTGAACTAAAAAAGGACAACAACAGAAATTTCTCTATTTTAACATTTTATGTTCAAAGAATTTTAGACAATGAAGTTTTCATCCAAAGCTCATGTGTTTATATATCTATTCATTAACAAAACATCAAAAACCATCAGAAACACTGAATATATATCTATACATTTGTAAATTCTAAGAGAAATGCTCTGAGTAAACCTATACTATCTATAATTCAGCACAACGACCATTTTGTGGATGATTCCTTTCCTCCAATTCCAAATTCTGTCTTTATCAATGAGGACAAACCCTTCACAAAGACCCCCATCCAATGGCTACGACCGACGGAAATCGCCACATCTCAACGGGGAGACGAAAAGGTCAAATGGGCAGTGTGTAGGACGCCTCTACCAGACGACATCTCTCAGGGACTTCTGGGAAACTGCTGGTAAGTACGGAGTCACCGATTGGTTATTTATCTCTCAGGGACTTCTGGGAAACTGCTTGTAAGTACAGAGTCACTGATTGGCTATTATTTACCCATTGCTTATAATTTATATTTCTTCTTTTCTTCAGGTTTCTGAGTGCCTTAGCGGTTTTGGCGGAGCGTCCTGAACTCGTAGAGAACATCATTCTGACTAAGGACTATTGTCCACAAGGGGCCTACCAAGTCCGCCTGTGTAAGGACGGGAAATGGCAGATTGTCCTGATTGACGACCTGTTACCATGTGACCACCACAAACGACTCGTCTTCTCTCAGGTCAGGGACTGTATGGAATTTATAGGAATCAAGCTCTCCTTAAATCAGCTGGCTTACTATTTCAATGATTTTTTTTAAAATGTAAAAAATTGTTTTTGTTGTGATAATTTTGAAGCGTTATCATCAGTATTAATTAATGGAAAAAAATTATCTAGAAGAACTGTTGTAACAAGCCTGAATCTGATATTTCAGTGACTTCTTCATCTTCTATTTTTTTGCACATGACCAGTCCTATATTTTATATGTTACATGTTCTCCTTGTAGGCCAAGAGAAGACAACTGTGGGTGCCTCTGATAGAGAAGGCTATGGCTAAGTTACATGGCAGCTATGAGAGCCTGGTAGCAGGGAAGTGTATAGAGGGTCTGGCTACCTTAACAGGTGCCCCCTGTGATAACATAGAACTTCAGCGTAAGCATCAAAGGCCAAAAATTAAACATATTTATTTTATGAAGAAGTACATGATATTTCTTCAGCTATGTAAAAAAAGCAATATTATAACCATTGCTTTTTAAGAAAGTCATTGTAGATATACTGAGTGTAATTTTGAGATTTTATTTCTAGCTGGACCACAGAAAGAAGACATAGATCCTAACTTAATCTGGGCCAAACTTCTCAGCTGTAGGGAGTCAGGGTAGGTGTTATAACTTAATCTGGGCCAAACTTCTCAGCTGTAGAGAGTCAGGGTAGGTGTTATAACTTAATCTGGGCCAAACTTCTCAGCTGTAGAGAGTCAGGGTAGGTGTTATAACTTAATCTGGGCCAAACTTCTCAGCTGTAGGGAGTCAGGGTATGTACTCTGTAAAAGTTTTTTTTATTTTAAGATTATAATGTTACTTCTTTAGAAAACATAAAGGCTTTATCTCTTGAAAACTCCTAAAAGCCCTTTCTTTGAAACCTTTCTCAACTCTAGCATAATAAGAACTTGTAGAAACTACTAGACCTGTTTTCTAATAGATTTTTAAAAGCTCTGTCCATAGAAATTTGAGAATTTTTCTAATGAATTATGGTAGATAGATGCATAAATCCCATGAAATAATCCTCTGAATTTTAATCAGGATACTTTCAGTACTTTGATTATTGGTTTATTTATAGATTTCTGATGGGGGCCTCCTGTGGGGGAGGTAACATGAAGACAGAGGACAAAGTTTACGAGGAGAAAGGACTGCGACCTCGACACGCCTACTCCATTCTGGATGTCAAAGACATTGATGGAAATAGGTACAGTCACATAAGTCAACAAAAATGTAGTTGTAGTTTTCTTTCAAATAGGTGTAAAAAATGTAACTACTATGAATAAAAATAAGTATATAATACTCTTGGTTATCTTTTATTTTTTCACAAAGAAATGTTAACTTTTGCTGATGACATTAATTTTGACCTATATTTATAAGTCAGATGAGAACTCTTTTTTTGTAGTTTAATTCTAGTACTCAATGTTTTCTGATCCTGCACAGGTTGTTAAGGTTACGTAATCCTTGGGGGCGGTTCTCTTGGAATGGGGATTGGAGTGACAACTCGACTAAGTGGGCCAACATTAGTAGCCGGGCCAAACAGGATCTGATGTTGTATGGGCACACATCAGGCGTTTTCTGGATATCACTGGAAGATGTTCTCAAGTACGATATAAACTCTTCTCTCTTCTTATCTCTTTTTATGTTACAGTTTGAGTGTATGAGTTTCTTGATTAAATATTTAAAACTTTTGTGTCACACTTATTCATGTAATTACATGTGGAATACAAGCTCCCCCTCCCTGTACATTTTAGTAAAATTTTCCAAAATTTGAAATTTCTTCTCATTTGCTTTTCCGTATAGCTTTAATTTTTCCTACTTTTAAATCCAAAAGGTAGCACATTAGTCTTATTGAAAATTGCTACATGTATTTTTTTTTTTTTGTTTATTAACAAATTATGTATATTAAAACGTGCAGTTATACTTAAATTTTACACAAACAACCAATTAAAATATGTGATACTTGTTTTGTTTAGATACTTTGACAGTGTGGATATTTGTAAGGTGCGTCCTGATTGGAGGGAGACTCGAGTGGAGGGGACATTCCCAGCCAATGCCAGAGAGGTTTTCAAAATGGTCAAGTTGACTGTGTTCTATACCACAGAGGTGGAAGTGGGTGTGTTCCAGGAAGGGGTCAGGTAGGTTACTCTATACAGTAGAGATGAGGTCATGGGGTGATATGAGAGTCCTGATGGTTTTGAAACCAGCAAGACTTGTAACCTTTAAAAGATGGTTCTATAAATTAAGACCTTAAAAATATTTTTTTTAATAAAAGCAGTAATCTTCAGTTGACATTTTTTTTATTCATTATCTTTGGAAGAAGGAAGAAAGATTTGTAGAATAATTTGTGATGGGATATTTCATATTTACATCTGTAACTTGTGTAAAAAAGCCGAGATGTTTTTACAGTAGAACAGCCCATATTTCACTGACCTTTACCTCTATTTCCTTTTACAGGAGCAATGACAACAAAAACCCGGCTGACCTTTGTGTACTGATACTCAGGGATTCCCCTAATGGTGTCCAGGCGTTTGGCCCCCTGGTGGCCTGCAGTAATCGTCAGATTAAGAGTTTTGTGGGATGTAACACCATGCTGGAACCCGGGGAATATGTGGTCCTACCTCTGGCTTTCAATTTCTGGACTTTGTGTAAGTATACATAGGTAATAATGATTCATCATGAATCAGTAGAAATATCAACTTGATATTCACATATCTATTTATTGTAAATGTTCTGTATTTTTAGCTATGAATCCACATAGCATTATAGCTACATTTTGCCTGTCTCGTTATAAGTACATACAGTGTATCCTCTATTATAGCTACAAGCCCACAGAGTGATACAGCTATGTACTGTCTTATTATAAGAATGTGTCCTGTATTTTTAGCTACGAAGCCCACAGAGCGATACAGCTATGTGTTGTCTGTCCACAGTTCTAAGGCAGTCATGGTGGAGGAGATTGAGACAAGGACTCAGAAATACGAGTACACCCTCGCTGATGCTGTCATACAGCTGGCTCTGGCCAAGGGAAAACAGGAGGGGGTAAGTATAAGTGATATCTGTGTAGATCAATTGTGAGAAAACATGGGGGATATAGATGTATAATCAACCAAGGGGGAAAAAAGCTGATTTAAAAGAGTTCAAAATTGTATGTTTTTGAAAAGTTTCTGTACCTTAGAAACAATCAAGTCTGCAGGTTGATAAGTATGTTAAACAAAGAGGCCAAAGGCAAGAACAGCTGTAATAGTGGTTGACATTTCTATTTTTAGGTACGGGATACCGTCTCAGTGTATTCTCTGATGCATGGTTGGTCTGGTGGTTTGTTTGTGGTGGAGAATCGCTGTAGTGACCGCAGTCTGCATATGAAGTGTGATTGTGTAGACAGTGCCAATGTGGTGTCCACTCGCGGTAGTCTCACCACACTAGACTCCATCCCTCCACTACACAGGTAAGTATTACAGACAGTGGTAATGTGGTGTCCACTCGCGGTAGCCTTTCTATGCTGATAAACTGAAACCTCATTTACACCAGATTTTGACACTAGTATACAGAGACCTAAAAAATTTTTTGATAAATTTATCTTTGGTTTAGCTAGAATTATGAAATGATCAATTTGACACTGGCTTTTAAAGTAAATTTTTCTCACCAGACAAGTGATTATGGTGCTGTCTTATTTGATCACTGACATTCAGTAATACATAATGAGATCTATTTTCTTCACCAGACAAGTAATTATGGTGCTGACTCAGCTGGAGAGAAGCGCATCCTACCACCTCTCTCGCCGCCTGATTCACCGCATGCACTGGTCAACCACAGGACTTGCTGACTGGGCAGCGGCAGGAGTGAACCATGATCCACCGCTGACACTCCACGTGGAGGGACTCCATGCTCCCAGGCCATTATAAACCACATGCATTCCATGTAGAGGGACTCCACGCTCCCCGGCCTTTATGAAGAAAAAGAACATCAGTTACATCATTCCCGATCTTAGCTGACAAAAAGAACTGAATGTTTTATTTTGACCATTAAAAAAAATGTCCCTTCAGGTTCTTGAAAAGAAGGGTCATTTAAACTATTGAGGCCTTATTTATTCCAATCATTTCTTGTAATTTCATTTCACATTAAGACTACCATTATTGTCTGTTGACTCTAACAGCTTGTTGAATCTATGAAAGATTCTATTCCGATCAGTCTGTATAAAGAGATCAAAATTAGTGGGAAATTATTTTAACCAAAAGTAATTTTTTATAAAAATAACATAGTCTACTGGGATCAATTAATTTTTGCAACACCTTATTTTCGCGATATAGTCATTGACTCTTGATTATCGAGACAAAATTTTAATTGTGGTTATTTTATATAATCTTAAGGAATACTATTATATGCATAAATTTTCCTGTCTTAAAAAGTGATTTACAGTATATTCTTTCTTAATTCCAACAGATGTACAGTAATTTAAATTTCCATATACAGTAAAGTAAATTGAATTTATGGTTCAATAAGATTTTTTAATCAGCTTGGTATAATTATGATTTTTTATGTAAAACACACATCCCATTTTCAAATTTCAAGCAGCACTATCAACTAAAGACTTACATTGTGTGTAGAGATTTTTTTTTGTGGAAAAGTCTAGAACATTTATTACATTTGTTTATATGTGTGTGACAGATTTTGTTGAAAATTATAAGATGATTTTCAGAAGAGGTTGTTTATGCCATTATGTTCTACATCACTGATGAAGAATACTTGTTAGATATTTCATTTTTTGTCTTTAACTGTCAGTATTTCACCAAAGAGCATTATTATTGGTTGTGACCATTCTAATGTAAAGATTGTGCATTAATATATTTTTGTCCTTTCATCATGTTCATGTGTAATATTTTGTTTGGTCTATATTTATATATGTCTGGGGGCCAAATAATTTCCACTGTTGTATCTCAGTTACCATGGATACTTACATTTTCTTTGTTATATAATTCTGCTAAGATTTTTTTTTTTGTGCGTTCCAGAAGTAACTTGTAAATGATTACCTTTTTCCTTAAAGCACTGTTTATATCTGTCTTGTAATATTATCAAGATAAAAGATACATTATTGCTAAGCATGCAGATTTCATTTACATGTATAACAGTATATAATAGCATTTTACTTTTTGTCAGGGAGATTAATAATCTTTAAGTTGTGAACAATTTGTAAATATTTTTTTAAACGTCAAATGCATGCATTGTGCACGATATGGCATTTTATGTTATACAAAATATTATATGTTTCTCTGAATGATTCAGCCAATGAAATTGCTTGATACAAGTGAAATCAAATTATTATCAAGATAAAAGATACATTATTGCTAAGCATGCAGAAATCATTTACATGTATAACAGTATATAATAGCATTTTACTTTTTGTCAGGGAGATAAATAATCTGTGTGTGTGTGAACAGATTTGTAATATATTTTTTTAAATCAAGTTTAATTGGCATGCTTATGGTGCAGTATATGTAGCATTTTATATTGAACATATATATCAGTATATATACTGTATATTTTGTTAATAGATATTTGATACAATGGTTGTTTGTTTACCATGTGTAAGTTAATGCATTAAGTGGCATTTAATAAGATCAATGTGACAATACGTCTACCTCCAATGTAGGTCTGATTTCTGTGAAAATTTTTCAGAAAAAAAGATACTCTTTGTGAATATCGGGATAAACAAATGGTCTTTGTGTGTCATTAGGAGAGTCTGCGAGGGCATATATTGAATTTAAATCAAGTTTAATTGGTTTCCACTTATTAACAATATCATTTGAAATAAGAGTTTTCAAATTGATATTCCAACATATATAGCCAGTATATACATTATTATTAATAGATAATGATACATAGTGTTAGAGTTATCTTTCCATCAAACCTTAGTTTTATAATCCAATATCAAATTAAAAGTATTACATCAATAAAATTCAAAGGAAAAAAAATTTATGTACATTCCAAAAAAAAAATTATAAATGATTTATTTTTCTGTCATTAAAGTATTTTATTACAAATTTGTAAAGAAAAAAATTTTCAATGTAAAACATGCAGCTCATATTGCTTTAAACATTTTGATTAATAGTGCATAAGATCTCAGTGATGTTAACAGGACATTGTTTGATTTAAAGTTGTAGGACTTTGAAACAAATAAATTCTTTCTGTTTATACTAGTTTTATATGTACTGTTTTTGATATAAGTATGAAGATCTCTGACAGAATAATCGGAGTGTTCTAGTTTTGTTTGATAGTGCTATCTTGAATTTATTTTTCTCAGACTTACAAGGTTTTGTATTTTAGAGATGTTTCTTTGTGCAATATGTGATAGTTATAAAGATTTTAATAAAGAAAATTATTTGTGCATTTTACATCGATTCTTCTTATTTTTTTTACTCATATTTGCAGTAAACTGTAAAAGGAATTTGATTGAAGAATGTCTTTTTTTAACAATCATGGTTTTATGTTATTGGTGCAGAAATGCAGACTTGTTAGAAGTCCATACTTCTAAATGCATCATATTTTGAATAAAATTGTATATTAATATTGAGATATTGAACAACATGCATGGATAAATTAATGGTCTAAAGGATAACAGGCCCATAGCAACGGTCTCAAAGGGGGACAGCAACCCAAAATGTTTTACTTGCAAAAAAGAAGGACGAAACTTACCAAAATATCAGACAAGGGGGAAAACTGTTCAAGTCCTAAAATTTGTCTTTCCTCGACCTTACAGAGACAAAAAGAAGTGTGTTTGGGTGGGGGAGGGGGTGGGGGTCATCTAAAGGAAATTTTACTCAGAAGAAAATTGGAGACTTGCCCACCACCACCCCATGCTACGGGCCTCTGTAAGTCCAAGAAATCTGTTTGATGTAATATAAATTTAAAATGTGACATTTTGCTGATGTGCATTTTTATAGTTTTCTTAACCACAAAAGTTTACAGTCTTTTATTTCACCATATTTCAGTTGGAAGTCCACAAACTGTTTTCTTAAAAATGTTTAACTGCTGCTTCCAAACCTTTTAATCGCAAAAAATAGGGAATCATATCTTGGATTACACAATATGAACTGGTCTATGTACTTCTTTTTAAGACCCATGATTATAATTGCAGTCTAGCGGAGATGAATTTACATGCTCATTCAACATAAACTCCGAGTTTCCTTGTAAAGAATTTTCGATGAAAAAAAACAACAGATAAGTTTTAAGTATTTTTTAATATTACCAGCAATCATATTGAATTTAAATTACCATACTTCTAATGGATCTATACATTGCAGTTTCGAATAAATTTTCTTCCAAGCTTCTTTCTTTACTCTTCATCAAAATATTTAAAGAAGTAAGAGACTTGAACAGGAACATATCCAAGAAATTAGATGTGGATACTTTTGAAAATCTTCAAAAGAACTCTTAGAAGAATGAATTAGTTATCACCATATCTATATTGGATTCCAAAACTTAATAAAAATCCTTACAAACAAAGATACATAGCGGGTTCCTGTAAATATTCCAAAATGCCTCTTTCTTTACTCCTTACAGTACTAAAGTATTAACAGTAACGACGGATAACTTCAGGAGTACTATGCAACAGTATAATCAAGAAGTGGTTTAATCAGATGTGGATACTTAAAAATTCCATGAAACTTTTGGACAACTTGAAATTACAAGATTTTACCAAAATCAACATCTTAAAGACTTACGACTTCTCAACTTTATACACAACTATTCTCCATGATAAATTAAGGTCCAGGCTTTTTGATATCATTTTCAATAAAACTAGAACTTTACTTATTACCTTTTCATCGGTCATTTTCAAAATTATTTTGTTTAAAACATTCTGATATTGTACACACAAGTACTCTGAAGTTGATAATTTAAAAAAAAATGCTTGAGTTTTTGATTGACAATATTTATATGTTTTGGGAGACCAGGTCTTCCAACAATTAGATGGAAATCCCATGGGTACCAACTGCGCCCAATTTTTAGCAGATCTATTTTTGTATTCATATGAACTAGAATTGTCCGAAAGCTTATAAATGAAAATAAGAAAGCACTTGCTCTGGCCTTCAACTCGACATTTAGATACTTGTACATTGACGACGTTTTGTCAATTAACGTATGTCGATACTATATATTCTAGTGAGCTTTGAATAAAAGATACCACAGAGTCTGACACATCTGTTTCATATCCCTATATTTTACATATAAGAAAGACGTTAACGGTAATCAGAAATCAAGATTTATGATAAAAGTAAGGACTTTTAACTTTTATATCGTCAACGTCCCTTACTTATGCATCAATATACGTTCGTCATCTGCATACTGGGTTTATATCTCTCAGTTGATTCGATGCGCGGGGGCATGCTCTATGTATGAACAAATTCTAATTAATACGAGGTAAATTTTTGACAAACAAGTCGATGAAACAAGAAAATCACCAGTCTCGTTTAATGTCATCATTTAGTAATTTCTATGGTCGATGCGATGACCTCGTCAGCAAATACAATTTATCATTAAATCAAATGCTGACTGACGCTTTTCGTACTGATCGTTAGGCCCTTATATACACACTATATTTCAGTTATTTCCCGATCATGACAAGAATTACCTAGCGGGTATGACCTATTGTTTAGGGCATATGCTCACTCCTCCATGACATTAAATCCCACCTCTGATTTTTTTTTTCTGGAGGTTCTTGTTTGCTCTGCTCCAATTTTGTATTTTTATAGAACTTTGAGCTTGAATACTTTTCGTTATCTCCATTACATCCTACCTTTGAAGATTTAAGAGGCCTTGTCCTGCACAATAGGTGAAGATACACTATTTTAATATTAGACATCTCTTTATATATACCAAAAAAATCTGAAAAATAAGTTAAAAACCCTATCCACCAGATAAAAATATAAAATTCAGTATGTTAAAACTATACTTTTATTACGGAAGCGTATTAGTGCCACTTGGACACTTTTTTTATTTTTCGTTTTTTACACTCTAAACTGTAAATGTTACACATAAAAGTGTAAAATTTACACTTTAAAGTGTAATATCACACTTAAATCTGTACATTTTACAAATTAATCTGTAATTTTTTCATTTCATTTTGTAAATATAACTTCATTTTGTAAATTTTAAACTTTAATCTGTTAATATTACACATATTAAAGTGTAAATTTTATACTTTAAAATGTAGATTCTACACATTAATCTATAAAATATAAACTTTAAACAGTGTAATTTAAACCTTTATTTGTTTAATTAATTTGGCACCTGCATACATCTTTAGTAAAACGCTGTAAAGATAAAAGACCATGGAGCATGCATGATATAATCTAAGTTTTATTTCTAACTTAACAATAAATGTGGATAATAACTAACTTAACAGATGGCAGATGTATGGATTTATATAAATAATAAGCAATCTAGTAGAATTATTAAATGAAGAGCAAATCAAATACACATACTTTTCAATGAATCTTATATTGATATCATTATACGCAAATTCGTTTGATGCGCGCTCAGAAGTTATATCATTTATTTCAACATGATTGTATTGCGGGCAACAATCTATTTCCTTATTGAATTGAAGATCCTAAAAATAACCATATAAAATATCAATTATTAATGTTTACATAAATATACATGCATAAAATTGAAGTTTACATGTATTTGAGTTCATATTAAATTTGGAACAGCGTAAAAATTAATACCGGTACCCTTTGATTAAATGATGATTCTTTATTGTTCCGTTCTAAAATGACCCTGATAAAATGAACTGCAATGAAGGATATGGACTGATATATATTTAAAACAATACAAAACAGGTGAAAAGCGTCAGGTGCCATGGAGGAGTATTTGCCCACCGTGTGCTCCTTGTCATGATCTGGAAATGAAAAATCAAAATTGTATTGAAAAGCGTGCAGCAAAATGATCAATTGTATTTGCTGACAAAATCATTACATTGACCAAAGAACGTACGAAACGATGACTTTTAACGAGACTGCTGATATTCTTGTTTCATCAACTTGTCTGTCAATAACTTACCTCGTTTTAGAAACTGCATATTTAGAGCATGCTCTTGCGTATCGAATAAAATTAGGCATATAAACACCGTATGCAGGCGATGAAGGTATATTGCTGCATAAGTAAGGGAAGTTGACGATAGAAAAGTTAAAGTTATCACGTTTATTATAGAGCTTCGTTGTAAGATTACCTTTAACGTCATTTTCAAGTAAAATATCCAAGTAAGAAGCAGACGTGTCAGACTCTGTGGTATATTTTATCTCAAGCTCCCCAGTATATATCGTATCGACATAGGAATGGAAATTACCATTGTTAATTGACAATACGTCGTGGATATATCTAAATGTTGAGCTGAAGGCCACAGCAAGTGTTTTCTTCTTGTCATGCACAAATTCTGCTTCATATGAATACAAGAAGGATATGGAAATAACGAACAGTATTCAATCTCAACGTCCATCAAACAATATACAAAATAAGAGCAGAGCAAACACGGACCTCCGAAACATCAGAGGTGGGATCAGGTGCCATGGAGGAGTGAGCATCCCCTGCCGACAACAATTTGTCTGCTAATAACGGAGTGCAATTGGAGAATATTAAAATGAGAAGACCAAAATAAATTGATATACTTGTATACAGTATATATTTTTCTATTTGCCGCTATAGCACTTAAAAAATATTGAAGGCAGATTCCCGATATTTGCTTGGGAAAATTACGAGGTCCATGAGCAAATCGCCCATCCTTACTTATCGTATATATATATATATATATATATATATATATATATATATATATATATATATATATATATATATATATATATATATATATATGATATATCAGAACAATAAAAATTTCATAATATTTTTCATAGGTCATGAAAAAACTTAAATATCACCATGAAACACAAAGACCATTCGATCATTACATAATTACATGTTGAATTGAATTGAATTCGAAAAACAATAGAAGTTTAACATATTAAAGTGTAAAATTTACAAATTAAAGTGAACTTATACAAAATAAAATGTAATATATATAGATTAAAGTGCTAAGTTTACAGATTTAAGTGTAAAGTTTACAGATTAAAGTGTAAAATTTACAGATTAAAGTGTGGACTGAATTTAAAAAAACATGTCAATAATACGCTTCCGTATTTTATGAATATTAGTGGTTTAATAATCTTAAAATATACCGGTAGTATTTCCACCGCCATTACCAAAACTCTTGAAGATATGCAGTATTGTATCAATCTTTAAGACCTTAAATCCTATTCACTGTAGGCATGCACGTTTGCTTTAAAATACACAAAGAATATCCTTTGCTTTTTTTTTTCAATTGGACAAGACGGAGAAAATATCTGAATTCATTATACATCTCCGTCCACACGTAGAAAGTTTACTTTGCCTGAAGGACACCACGGACTACATTAACATCTACCGCCTTCAAATATTTTATGTTCAATTTATTCGTCAAATATTCAGTGGTTTATCTCAAGGCAAGATAAAGATATAAACCATTTAGCTTTAACTTTAAATACATGTTCTCAAGCAAAATGTTTAATGGAGAACATTACCTGCAAGTAAATGGCAAGTTGTCGAAGAATTGTGGCTTTTCATGGGCAGACAAAATTTCCATATAGGCCCCATAGCTTTGCGTTTCATTGACGATAAAATTTGGAATGACTTTAAATAGGTTTGCTTTGATTTTAAGACAATCTCATTTGAAAGACATTTGTAATACCTGATTGATGTAAAATTAGTCTCCACACCAAAGTATTACTATGATGATTCATCCCCCACACACCAGTGCATTTTAAAATAAGCCTTATATTACTTTACAGCTCTGAAGAGCGTATTGACTGTGCATTTAGGCAAAACATTTCCAGGGTTTCCCGTCCTTGATATAAGTTTCTCTTTACAAGCCCATGTATTTGACCACGTAGCCAAGGTAAGTTTATACTTTCACAATCTACGTTATATACAAATACTAAAACTAAGCCATGTCTGTGCTAAGCATTCTGTTTTTGTCTGATAATTGAACACTTTAAAATTTGCTTAGTTTACAGTCATATAGATATGCACAGTGACACAAATGCTTTATGTTCGATCGCATGAATTAAGTCTTTTTTATGGTCTGGAAAGCAGTAGTGTTGTGTTGTAAAATGATACTTAACATGATGTTTAAAAAGTAACTGATAAACAGAAACTGAAAGTAAATCATTTCAAGGTTGTTTTTCTGCTAAATTCTAAATCCTTTAATGCTTATGTTGGAGTCAAATTTAAATAGTTTATTAATTATTTAAATAACAGGTTAAATTTAGCTGCTTTGAGAGAATGAAACACTGTGCTTTACTGATTATCGTAATTGATTAGCATAATTAATGCATATCAAAGGTTTTTTGTTTACGTTTTTGATTTTTTTACATACAACTGGTTCATAGGAAGTTAGGTATTCACTGGTTGATTAGTTATTTGTACGAGAGCAATATACCTTAATCACCTGCATATACGGGCAATATATATCTCTCAGTTGATTCGACACACAAGTGGATGCTCTGCCTATGAACTATTTCTAAAACGATTGACAAATAAGTTCATGAAACAAAAATGTCAACAGTCTCGTTTAAAGTCATAATTTTGTAAGTTTTATGGTCATTTTAGTGCTTTATATAAATTTCCATCCGTGACCTTGTACTCAATCTACTTTAAGTCAAGGATAACCTTTATATATATATATATATATATATATATATATATATATATATATATATATATATATATATATATATATATAGATGCTTGTATAAATTTTCTGAAACACTTCACAGACAATATATATGTATTTTTTGGTCAGTATAACACCATGGTCTTCGATCAACATGTTCTAATTGAAGTTGTAACATATTAAAGTGTAAAATTTACAAATTAAAGTGAACTTGAAAAATAATAATATATGCATTCTGAAATTTTCACCACGTTTTAGTAGATTTACATGTAAAATGAATATACATAGCAAATTTAAAATAGATATATGCATAGGTAAAAAAACAAATTATTATATTTTATGTTAAAATATACGGTAGTATTTTGCTACCACAGTGACAAGAATGATATTGACATCAAAGTGTCTAAAACAGCATCACTTTTCATACCCTTTGCTTTTTTTTCTTAAAGATGGATAAACATCCACTTAAATTTAGAAATTTTATAGATTTACATATGAAGTATTCATCTACCGTTCAAATATTTTTTGTTCAATTTATTCGTCAAAGTTCAGTGGTTTATCTCAAGGCAAGATAAAGATATAAACCATTTAGCTTTAACTTTAAATACAGAGCAAAATAAAGTACCAATGAAGTTGTCGAAGAATTGTGGCTTTTCTCGACAAAATTTCCTATAGTATTTTGTGTCTTAAAATTTACGACTTTAAATAGGTTTGCTTTGATTTTAAGACAATCTCATTTGTAAGACATTTGTAATACCGGATGTAAAATTAAGATAAGTATTACTAAAGACGATTCAACAACCAGTGCATTTTAAAATAAGTATATACTTTACAGCTCTGAAGAGCGTATTGACTGTGCATTTAAAAACATTTCCAGGGTTTCCCCCCTTGATATAAGTTTCTCTTTACAAGCCCATGTATTTGACCACGTAGCCAAGGTAAGTTTATACTTTCACAATCTACGTTATATACAAATACTAAAACTAAGCCATGTATTTGCTAAACATTTTGTTTTTGTCTGATAATTGAATAATTTAATTAGTTTACATTCATAAGAATATGCACAGTGACACAAAGGCTTTATTTCGATTGTGAATTGTCTTTTTTATGGTTGGAAAGCAGTAGTGTTGTGTTTTAAAATGATACTAACATGATGTTTAAAAAGTAACTGATAAAATAAACTGAAAGTAAATCATTTGAAGGTTGTTTTTCTGCTAAATTCTAACAGAAATGCAGAAATGTTTTTGGAATCAAATTCAAATAGTTTATTAATTATTTAAATAACAGGTTAAATTTAGCTGCTTAGACGTGCTTTGACTGATTATCGTAATGCATATCAAGGTTTTTTGTCTGCTTATTGATTTATTACATACAACTGGTTCATAGGAAGTTAGGTATTCACTGGTAATTAGTTATTTAAATGAAGTATATACCTTAATCATTTATACGGGCAATATATATCTCCAGTTGTCGACACACAAGTGGATGCTCTGCGTATGAACTATTTCTAAAACGATTGACAAATAAGTTCATGAAACAAAAATCTCAACAGTATCGTTTAAATATATAATTTTCAAAAACATTATGATTGTTAGCAAACTCAATCTATCTTTAAGTCAAATAACCCTTTTCATACTAATGTTAGCCAAGTATATTAAAGTTAACCTTAACAAGATGCTTGAGTTTCTGATTGACAATATCAATGTGGTTTTTGGAGACCAGGTCTTCCAACATGTACAATCTACTGATTAGAATTGCCTTGGGTACCAATTGCGCCTTGTTATTAGTAGACCTATTTTTGTATTCATATTAAGTAGAATTTGTGCAAAATCGTATACGTGAAAAGAAGAAATGAGTCAAATGCTAACGGCCACTTTAATACTAAATGTTAGTCCATTTTATATACGCTGAATTGAGGACGGATTTTTCCGTTATTTCCTGATCATGACAAATAGCACAAGGCAGGTGTGACCGGCTGATAGGTGGTTTCATTACATAATGAACGTGCAAGAGATTTTCCCGTAATTGCTTAATCAGGACACGAAGTACACGGCGTCAAGGGATGTTCACACTTTTGATACAAAACTCTGATCCTTTGGAGGTCTGTGCTTGCTCTGTTCAAACTTTTATGTTTCAATGGACTTCCGAACTTGAACACTTTTTGTTTTCTCCATATATTTCATTCCAGAGGGTGACTGCAATTATGTCAAAATGTCTATAAGCATACCTCATAATAAGACAATAAAGTGGAAACCATCGGTGATATGTAAACAAAAAACCTTGTATAGAGGCGGAATATTATATTTAGCTTCATAACTTGGAGAGAGTTTTCCAAATGTTGACATATATTATAACAAACTCAATAATTAAATAAATTTTATTTATTTATTTTGCTGCTTCTGCAGAAAAGGATTTTATCATCAGGCATTAGAGATCAGATGGATAAAACAGAAGGGATGTTCTGGGAGTGCAATAAATGTACCTATCACAATGACATCACAGCACCATCCTGCACGATGTGTGAAGATGGTAGAACTTCTTCAGAAGTTGACACGAAGAACAACTGGAGCTGTGAAAAGTGCACTTTTCTGAATTCAATAAACAGTCCTTTTTGTGAAGCTTGTGGACCCAAGAGGGACACTGCAAATTTTGATACAAAAGAGAACAATTCAAATAGGCCTGTTTCTGAATCGAAAGTAACTAGGACTTCTAAATCTGCAGATAAACAGGAATCAGACAGGAAAGTCAGAGAGTATCGTGCTAAAACTTCACCCGACAGTACCGCCAACAGTAAAACAGGTAACAGCTTGGAGAACAACAAAGTTAAAGGAAAGGAGCTTGAAAAAGAAAAGAGACCTAAATCTTCAGAGAAACCCGACAAAACAGCCACAGGATGGTCATGTTCACGGTGTACATACAAAAACACACTAAATATGACAGTCTGCGAAATGTGTGGATATGGTAAAGAACAGAAGAAGCATAACGAGTCAAAACTCATATTATCTGTCAGACAGCCGAGCTCAAAGATGGAAGATATCCGAAAACTGGAAGAAATTGAGGCATCTAATCTCTTGCAGAACATCATTTCTTGCTGTCGGAAGGTAGATCTTGGTATAATCAATATAGCGATACATTATGTATCCACTCAATAAATCTTGCTGTAATGTAAATGCTTATGACTCCTAAAGATATCGAGTATATCTATGTACAATACCTCCGAAACAATTCAATTAACACACCACCAAGTTTGCAAATTAGCACAAAGCGTTCTCTATGAATAAACTGATATGGTGTCAAAAGGGAAGTTACGATTAACACAACTGTATTTTTATTTTGTAGGAATTGCAATTTGCAATTAATTAAGTAATCACGTTTCAGAAATTGTTTTCTATGTTATCTTTGATTTACATAAACAATAATGAATCCAAAGTATATTTTTATAACTATCCGATCAGTACCACAGCCACTTTGTTGACGATTCCTTCCCTCCCATTCCAAGATCCTTATTCATTAGTCATAACAAACCCTTCATAAAGACTCCCATCCAATGGCTGCGACCAACAGATATAGGGAGCGAGAAAGACACGTGGACAGTATACAGGAACCCGCGACCACATGACATATCCCAGGGACAACTGGGAAACTGTTGGTAAGTACAGAGTCAGTGGTTGGTAAGTTATCACCCAAGGACTTCTGAGAAATTGTTGGTAAGTACAGAGTCAGTGGTTGATTAGTTATCACTCAAGGACTTCTGGGAAACTGTTGGTTACAGTGTCAGTGGTTATAAGTTATCACTCAAGGACTTCTGGAAAACTGTTGGTACGTACAGAGTCAGTGGTTGGTAAGTTATCACTCAAGGACTTCTGGGAAACTGTTGCTAAGTATCACTTATCATTTATCACTAAAGGACTTCTGGGAAACTGTTGGTAAGTACAGAGTCAGTGGTTGATTAGTTATCACTCAAGGACTTCTGGGAAACTGTTGGTACGTACAGAGTTAGTGGTTGATTAGTTATCACTCAAGGACTTCTGGGAAATTGTTGGTTAGTACAGAGTCAGCGATTGATTCGATATCTTTTATGAACCTGTGAGAAACCGCTGTTCAGTACAAAGTCAGTGAGTGGTTATCTCCATTGATTTAAAAAAATCAGAAATATATGTACTTTTACTTTTTTTTTACCAAAGGGAAAAATATAGATTTGCATATATTTTAGGTAATGTCTTATTCAAAATATAAAATTCAAAACAAGCATACTATTTACAAAGAATGTTTTGAATCATCGTTTAAAATGGATTCAACAAAAACCTCTGTTCCCTCCATAGTTGTTTGAACTGACAAATTTGCATATTGTTGTGTTCCATGTAACTCTAGAAAACTCAAGTTTGGTTGTCAGTTGGTCTCCCTCTTGCAAAATACACATGTTTGTCTATCTTCAGGTTTCTCAGCGCCTTAGCGGTCTTGGCGGAGCGTCCAGAACTGGTAAAGAACATCATTTTGACTAAGGACTATTGTCCACAAGGAGCCTACCAAGTCCGTCTGTGTAAAGATGGTATATGGCAAATTGTTCTCATTGATGACCTACTGCCCTGTGATAACTACAAACGACTAGTCTTCTCTCAGGTCAGTGACACCGTAGGCACGTTTACATGTATATTTGTAGATTAAAGTTAAGAGAAATTAAATGTTAGATTCATGTGCATGTATTAGGATATATGAGAAGTAAGGAACACTCGCTGAGATTTCCTTAATTAACGTCCAATTTAAGTGAACTATTTCAGTTTTAATCAGATTTCATTATAGACCTCTCATATAAACAAGTGTTGGCAACGAGTACCCGGTTAACTGGTTAACCGTCGAATAATGAGAGTTTAGGTTAGTAAAACTGCTATTAGGTTACTCGAATGAAATAAATTCTACATAGTTAAATGCATGTATAGAATATAAATGTTTTATTATTTATAAATGTATACTTACACATTTCCCTAGTTTTAGGTACGTTTGACTTGATCGAGTGCTTGAATGTAGAGGATCAAATTACAGTTTATATAAAAATTGTTAGCTTTGATTGCTTGAGGGTATACAACTTTTGAAGGTCTTTGTTATAATTACCTCATTTAATAATTTAAGGAGATGCCGCAATAGGCGTATTAAGCTTGGAGTTGTAAGAAAAGAACAGCTCATCATGTTTAAAATCTTTAATAACTGGACACTCCACAAATTAACTATTAATTACGGAGTATGCAAATAATTATTCTCCTTCATTGCGACATATATGGGGGCTGAAAAGGAAAGCATAACCAAAGCAATTGTAAAGTGGCAATTGACGATGTTTTTATTCGTCGTCTTCGTGTGTCAAATTCCTTACTTTTCTTTTATCGAAAATCAAAATTTTTGACAATATCGTGTGTGTGTGTGTGTGTGAGTGTGTGTTTTGTAAATCTAATGTCCATATACAATATATTTCAATATTTGTGTATTACTTCTACCGATAAGTAAAGAATAATATATAAATAGTAGATATGGATATTTTTACTAAAAATCATTCGAGTACCCTGGTACTCCATGGGAATATGAAGAACGTAACCGGTTACTAAAAATCGTCCGATTTGCCAACACTAATATGAACACATCCTGAATTTTAAAACCGTATTAGCAGAATTTTTAGCGAGGATTTAATTTTGGCATTATTAGCGAGGATGTTGAGATTCCCTAAAATTGAATATAGCTAAAAATTAATTGCCATTTATTTGTAATGGCCTCTTTAGGGAGCTTTTAAATATTGCTAAAATAACTTTTCGCTAAAATTAAATACCCATTTTTAAGGACAAATCGCTAAACTTGCGTCTCGCTAAAATTTCGACTTACACGTTAATGGTTTTTCCCTCCATTCCATTTTATCTTTTACAGTATATGGCACAATAACAAATCAAACAAAGTGTGCTTAAACTTAATGCTTCTGCGTCTGCTTTAGAGTAGAAGAACAAGGTACTGCTTACGTACAGTGTTGGAATCCCAATACAGGACATGAAAACCATTCCTTAGGATGAGACTGTATAAACTTTTTCAGTCTTTTTCAATGCTGAATCACAATAGGTTTTATCACAAAAAATCCCCCACTGCTCAAAAACAATTAGCACCTAGTACATTTAAAATTTGCAACCCTTCACCGGCAAACGCTAGCATCTCAATATGTGTGAAGAACTTTCAATAAACATGCTTTCTCATATTTAGCTCACGTGGACCAAAAGGGATATTCATGGTATTGCCTTATGAACTAGGCTGTGGCACATTAGTTGACGAAACAAATCCTAACTAGTAATACCGTTATGATTATTCACAACAAAGGGTTCGTGGTGGCTTTGATCACGTCATTACAAGGGAGTCGCGCTCCTTATATGATACTTCCGATTTTCCCTCAATTTTATATTACTTTATGTTTAATTTGATCTTAGTCAGTATTCCTTATTTTAATACAAATCAAAAACATATTTCGGGAAAACTAAGTCTAGCAAACATTTCATAATCTACATATAATGAGTATTTGCAGACTAAAGGACATCAACTTTGGGTCCCCTTGATAGAGAAAGCTATGGCTAAGTTACACGGAAATTATGAAAATATGGAAGCAGGGAGGTGTATAGAAGGTCTTGCTATCCTAACAGGTGCCCCCTGTGACATCATAAAATTACAATTTAAGCGTATTAAAAAAATTAGATATAAATAAAAAGAAAATACCAATATGTATGTAATGTCAAAGAACATGATCATTTCACTTCTTTATCTTGGAATGTTAATATTTGGAGTGTATACGTACATTTTGAGATTTTTTCGCTCCAGCTAGATCACGGAAACAAGACTTGGACCCTGCTATGATCTGGGCCAGACTTCTCAGTTGTAGGGAGTCAGGGTAGGTGTTTTAAATTAATCTGGACCAAATCTCTCAGCTGTAGTGGGTAAGGGTAGGATATCCTATTGACAGCTTCTTTTCATTGTAAGGTTCATAGATCTGCTTTAATGTATGAGTTTGACAGTTCTTTCCCACAAAATAATGTATTATATGTTACATTTAAGATGTTTTAGACACCGTTGTGTATATGTCCTTTTATAATTGATTCTATTTCAAAGAACATCTGCGCGTGATAATAAAAAATATCAATTCAAATAATTGTGCAGGATTTTTCGGTTACTTTCGTAAACGTTTTCAAAGAGACTGGTGTTCATTAATACAACCCTTATTTCCTCTGATTTTTACTTACGAGTATTTACAGATTTTTGATGGCGGTCTCCTGCGGAGGTAAGGATAAGACAGACGACAAGGTTTACAAACAGAAAGGACTGCTGGCTCAGCATGCCTACTCCATTCTGGATGTCAAGGACATTGACGGCAATAGGTACACTTAAAATGAAACATATGGTATGAAACATATGGAGATAACGAAAAGTATTCAACAGCAAGTCCATAAAACAATACAAAATAGGAACAGAGCAAATACGGACTTCCAAATTATCAGAGGTAGGATCAGGTGCCATGGAGGAGTGAGCATCCCCTGCCGATCTGTCACACCCGCTGTGAGCTACCTGTCATTATCAGGAAATAAAGAAAAATCCCTCGTCAATTCAGTGGACTAACAATTAGTATGAAAATCGTCAGTCAGCGTTTGACTCAATGATGAATTGTATTTGCTGACAAGGTCATTGTATCGACCATAAAACTTACGAAATGGTGACTTAAAATAATACTGCTAATATTTAAAACAAAACTTACGAAATGTTAATACTTAAAACAATACTGCTAATATTTTTGTTTTATCAACTTGTTTGTCAATAATTTAAACTTAAATTTAAATTTAAATCTCAAACTTTTTCATACGTAGACCATGCTCTTGCGTATCAAATCATCTGAGATATAAACACTCCCTATGCAGGTGATGAAAATATATTGCTGCATAAGTAAGGGAAGTTGACGATAGAAAAGTTAAAGTCATCACCTTTATCATAGAGCTGCTTGTATATTCGATTATCATTAATCTCTTTTTCAAGTAACATTATTCAATTTTAGGAGCATTTTCACATTTTACTCATCCTTCTTTTATATTTGAATTTAGTCGAACAATTTAGGAGGAAGTAGTCATTCTTTTTTAAATGACATTCATTGCATGCTCTCTCATCTCAGTAAAGAAGAAAGATATCGACGAATAACCAGAACTTATCATCAATGACTCTTTTTTTTAAATTTCTGATTCTTTTTTTCTCCAATGTTTAAGAAAATCCAAATGAAAAAGAAATAAACTTAGATTTATAATTATAAGTACTTAATTATGTGTATTGTATTGTTCTAGTTTACATGGTGGAAAAATAGTCTTATTAACCTTTATCTGGTTCTGTGCAGGTTGTTAAGGTTACGTAATCCTTGGGGGCGGTTCTCTTGAAACGGGGATTGGAGTGACAACTCGACCAAGTGGGCCAACATTAGTAGCCGGGCTAAGCAAGATCTGAAGTTGTATGGAGACAAATCAGGCGTGTTCTGGATATCCCTAGAAGATGTCCTCAAGTACGACATAAAGTTCTATATTTTGAATTCCGGTTAAGCATTTGTAAATTCAAATGAAGAAATCATACAAAGATTGATTGATTCATTGTATACTGTTTAGCGTCCCTCTCCAGAGTATTTCACTGATATGGAGACGTCAATCATACAAAGAGATGAATGAAATAAATTATTGAGGATGAAAGCGAACAGCATTCAAGCTGACAGGCCTCATTTAACAATAAAATGGTAGAGCCGAGCAAACACGGGTCTCTTAAACATCAGAATTAGGATCAGGTGTAATAACGGAGTGAGCATCCCCTGCTGACTGGTTATACCCGACATGTGCTCCTTGTCATGATCGGGAAATAACAGAAAAATCCGTCGATAATTCAGTGTGTAAATAATGGATTAACAATATAAGTATGGATAACCCAGTCAACATATAACTTAATGATAGAATATATTTGCTGACAGAATGATTGTATCGGCCATAGACTTTAAACGAGACTGCTGATATTCTTCTTTCATCAACTTGTTTGTCAATTACTCACCTCGTTTTAGAAATTGTTCATACCTAAAGTATTCTCTAAAGCGTATCGAATCTTCTGGAAGATACAAATCCCATATGCAGGAGATGAAGGTAAAATACTGATGAAGTAAGGGAAATTAAGGTCATCGTGGTTATCATTAACTTCGGATGTTAGACTACCCATTAACGTCTCATTCTAGTAAAATATCTTAATATGAAACAGGTGTGTCAGACTCCGTGGTATCATTTATTTCAAGCTTACTGGGGTATATCGTGTTGACATAGGAATGCAAATAACCATTGATAATTGACAATACGTCGTCGATATATCTAAATGTCAATGTAAAGGCCACAGCAAGTGTTTTCTTCTTTTCACAAGATATTGGACACATTCTGCTTCATATGAATACAAAAATAGGTCTGCTTATAACTGCGAAATTAGTACCCGTGGAATTCTTATAGATTATTGGAAGACCTGGTCTTTAAAAACCATAGAGAACTTGTGTGTGAAATCAGAATTGTTTTTCATATCATGATTTCAGTTAACAGCTGTTGTATTTAAAATTAGTATCGTATGATCGACATTCATCGTAAACTTCAACATATTCAGTTCCTCTGAATATTTGCATTTTTTCAAAGGTTATTCTATTTCTGACTTTCCCCCCATATTTTTAGTCCTGACTTCTCAGGTATAATTCAACAATTTTTTAATCTTCAATATCCAAGTTATTTCATACCTGCGTGATCTAAAGGTAATTGCACGTAACACTATTACCTTCATAACAATTGCATAAATAATACGAAAGTGTATAATTTTATGATTTAGATACTTTGACAGTGTAGAGATATGTAAGATTCGTCCTGATTGGAGAGAAATTCGATCAGAGGGATTATTTCCAACCAATGCGAGTGAGGTTTTCAAACTGGTGAAGTTGACTATGTCAAAAACTACAGAGGTGGAAGTGGGCGTGTTTCAGAATGGTGTCAGGTATATGGCCTAGAGGTAAATTGTTCAAAATTTTATAACTAGAAAAATTATCAAGACAAAAACATTTTCAATCAACAAGTGTTTACACCTTCCCTTCATTCATGAGTTCTAGGAGAAAAGATTATTCAAACAAGTAAACAAAATAGTGAAATGGTTTTCTTACATAATGACCAATGATATGTTAATCACATAGATCATACTTCTGATGCTTTTTAGACGCAGCTTAGACAAACCATCTGTAAATATTGATTTTTATATTCTATTCGCTCTATATTTATATGTTTCTGTACATAATCTTCTGTCTGTACAAATGTTTTCAGTACCACAATGTGAACTAGTTGTTAACTAATTGTGCCATCCTGTATAAATAAGGATATTATTATTATTATTTTAGAAATAAGGTTTCATTTTTATACATATATCGGGATATAAATACGGGTTGGTCACGAGATTAAATTCCATAAAGCCTGAAGGGCTTTATGATGAATTTAATCTTGTACCAACCCGTATTTATAGCCCGATAGATGTTTTAAAATGATACCTTATTATTTATATTTACGTTTGTGACTTATTCATACTTTATATTTGCCTGATTGTGACTTTTAGATTGTGAAATGCATCATTTTTCAAACTCAACGGAAAGTATGTAATCCACTAAACGCGCGTCAACTCTTTATAACGTCACTGATAAATTACGTCAATCGATTATCCATACGCACATGTATGACCTCTTGACCCCGTACCTGTATTTATACAGTTATAGATATGCATTCCTTTCAGTAGTGTTATATAAAGGAAAACATTTACAAATGTAAATATTATTATATAAAATTCACTTTGTTACTTTGAAATACTTATTTACATCTGATAGGGGCAGTAAGAATAAAAACCTATCTGACCTTTGTGTACTGATACTCCGGGATTCCCCTAATGGCGTCCAGACGTTTGGCCCCCTGATGGCGTGCAGTAATCGCCAGATTAAGAGTTTTGTGGGATGTAACACCATGCTGGAACCTGGGGAATATGTGGTGCTACCCCTGGCTTTCAAAAATTTTGTTTTTTGTAAGTATATACGTTTAGTCATTTTAAAAAGATTAATGTAAATGTGTTTCTTTACTCAAACATGGAATCAGTTTTAAAAACTTGAATTATAAATATTGTTCTCTACGTTTTTAAAGTCAATTAAAATCTATGTATTTGTAGCTACGAAGCCTACAGGGAGATCTAGTTATGTAGTGTCTATCCATAGTTCTAAGAAAGTAATAATGGATGAGATTGAAACTCGGGATCAGAAATACGAGTACACTTTGGCTGATGCCGTCATACAGCTTGCTCTTGCCGAGGGAAAACAAGAAAGAGTAAGTTATACCTTTATCGATATGTAGACAAAAATAATGAGTGGTATATAGTGTATGATGGTAGGAATAAGATCTAAGGAACAGCAAGAAGCATAATTCTCATAGTATTATTTTATGAAGTATTACAATTTTGAATATAATGCCAGATGCAAACGAAGATCTTGTTATTATGTATTAACAAAAGAAAATAATATTTAAAAACTATTAATATTCAATCATCAAAAATGTCATTGTAGTCTGTAAAAGTGAGAAAGGGGAGAATTTTAAACCAAAATGATATTTAAATGGTTTACACTTTGATTTTAGCCACGTGATAAAGTCTCTATATACTCACTGTTTCAATGGTGCGGTGGTATTTTTATGATTGAAAATCGCTGCAGTAATCAGAGTTTTCATATAAAGTATGACTGCTCAAAGAGTACCAATATGATGTCCTCTCGTGGTAGTCTTATAACAATGGACTCCATCCCTCCACTACACAGGTAATTGTGATAGTAGACAGTTATACGTTATACAACTCATGGTACTCTCACCACACTATTTTTGACAGACAAATAATCATAGAAAGTTGTGGTTCAGTCTTCTATAAAGTAAACATGCGTACGTAAAATAAATTTTAAGTATCCTACATTTGTCAATAAGATGTTATATTTTGATTATTTGTTGATTCAAAATTAGAAATATGAATTTTATAAATTTTAAACAAGAAATACTGATAGGCGGATATAAAAAATAGAAATTAAAAGCCGTTTTTTTTTTCAACAGACAAGTGATAATGGTGCTGACTCATTCTAGGAGAAATACATCCTACAATATTTCTCAGAGCTATACTTTCTCGAAACATAAGTCACCCACATTGCTACCAGACTGGGCTGCAAAAGGAGTAAAGCATGATCCACCACTAACACATCAATTACAGAGACTTCACGCTCCAAGGCCTTTATAAACCACTTTTTACCATGTAGAGGGACTTCAAGCTCCAAGGCCTTTATAAACCACTTACAAACCACGTTGCTGGACTTCAAGCTCCCAGACCTTTTTAAATCACTTACACACTATGTACAGGGACTACACACCCCAAGACCCTTGAAAACTGCTAACACGCTATGTAGAGGGACTACAGGCTCTAAGACCTTCATTAACCATTTTTATTACTAATACACCATGTAGATGAACCACACGCTCCAAGACATTTATAAACAACTAACACACCATGTTTATGAACCACAGGCTCCAAGACCTATAAAACCAATAAAACACCACGTAGAGGGACTACATGCTCCAAGACCTTTGTAAGATCTGAGACTCTTATAAACCACTCACATATGTACATAAGAAAATGAACATGACCTACACGCTCCAACGTCCTTATAAATCATATCGAAACGATATATATCCGTGACGGTCAAAACTTCAAGATAACAAAAAATGAATTCTATTTTAATGGACAAAATTAGATTTAAATAAGTTTTTAAAATAAAAATGGAGTATAAACGCAACTTAAGTTGATAAAAAAGGTGATTTTCTTTTTGATTGACCCTATGTATGTTGTTTTACGAGATCAGGGGCCAGTTTTACAAAAGGACTTACGACTTAAGACTTTTTTGATTAACATTATTTCAAAAATTATTTTAAACTAAAAGGAATGTGGTAAAATATTTTAACACAAACAATTTCAAAGAGAAATATTCATTTTGCAAAATTTTACAATAATATGAAGTTTTTGGTCTAAGACGTAAGTTCTTTTGTAAAGCGGGCCCCAGGTCTTTCATCAATCTGTCGGGTTTCCCATGGGAACATATTTTACCACCTTATAAGCAGTACTAGGTTTCATATGAAGCAGAATTTATTACAAATCTTGTATATAAAAAGAAAAGAACTTGCTGTGAACTTGAACACAAAATTAAGATATTAAAATGTATTTTCAAATAACAATAGTTAAGTCCATTCATATGTAGACACAATGTGGGCTTGAAATAAAAGTTAGAAAAAAAAGTTTGACAGAATCGTTTCATATCTGGATGTATCAGTAGAATATGGCCCTAATTGTAACATAACAACAGGGTTTATTTCCTTTATGAAATGTGATAACTTCAACTTTTCAATGTTAATTTTCCCGTACTTAATTATGTTCATGTTGCAAGATTCCCTGTTCAGTAGGCCTTAGTGCTCATTGCTACATGTACATGGCACCTGATCAAACCTCTAATAGTTTATAGGTCCATGTTTTCTTTGTCCTGATTTGTATTTTTTGAAAAGGCTTTTGAGCTTTAATATTGTTCGTCTTCTCCATATATCGCAGACAAAATGCATCCAAATGGTTATTTGAATAAAAAGTCTTTTAAAAAGAGTAAGACTTTGAATGGTAAATTCACAGAGATTAAATGTAATTTATTTTATTAAAAAACTGATAAGAAGAATGTTACAACAAAGCAGAACTTAATTGAACAAAGAATAATTAAGGGATAACCTTACAAATGAACCCTTTCAATGTTTAGAAAAAACAAGTCTATTTCGTTATTTAAGCAAATTGGTTTTTGCCATTTTTTCCAGAAACGAGGTCGTATTTGTCACAAGTTCATGGTCAAGCAGAAATAACGGAATGCCATAGTTGAAAAGATTGACATTGTTAAGTATGTAGTGAGGAAGAAATCTGCTTGAGGCGTACCCTTTCAATCTCTGAAGAATAGAGAGAAATCTCGTTGCAAGCTCCTCTTCCGTCCAGTGTCTCGGGTCTTGAAAATATCTATGTTCATGAAGCAGAAGAATTTTTATGTGGTAGGATTTTAAAACTGGAGTAAATTGGCGTTTTTCCGGGAACGTTCTTTCTTCTCTTGGTGCCAGATAGAATCGGCGAATAAGTTTGTAGATGATCATCAGTTTTCGAAATGTTGCAAATGATTTCACAATAGACATAATTAAGTCAGTTTCAAAACAAGAGAATGATAGTCTCCATCCAAAACCCTCCGATTCGTTATTCTTGGCAGCTAGCTCCACTGGTATGTCTTGAAGTTTTTCATATCCAGGGACTTTAAAAATAGCATTGGATCTTCCATCTTTAAGATCTACGACAATTATTGGAACCAGATCGATTGATGTTTCATACAAACCAGGAAAATGGTAGACGAGTGTGGCAGCTACTGTGCCTTGTCCTCTTATGGTCGGGGTGAAGTTCAACTCTTTTTTCGTTTCCGTAAATGCCCGCTCCACTATATTGTAGAAAGTATCTGAAAACTGCACAGGACTCAGTTATCCTTTAGAGTCAATACAGTCACTCCAGATATTAACTGATCGCCCAGAAGGTCTGAATCTAACATACTCTGGGTTGTGAGTTGTCTCCAAGATACCATGTATTCGTACAGGAATAACGACATCACATTCATTGACGGTAGGTGCCGACATCCCACAAGGCCAGCTACCAACATATTTTCAATCAACACAAAATCTGGCATCAAGTTTTCCGACTTTATTTAGCACATTCTCCCCGGCAGATTTCACTTTTGCAAAACGAGCATCAACTGGCATTTTCGGTTTATTTACCTCCACAATTTTGTTTAATGCATAAGATATTCTCTGTGTCTCGCCCATGTTGAAACCACAGAAACCACTCCTCTTAAAACCCCATTAGTGAAAAACTTCTCAGTGTCGAGAATGTGTTTTCCGTAATTTAAAACCTTAGTCAAAATAAATTAGCTGACACACACAATGTGCTTGAGTGCAAAAAACAACGAAAAACCCAAACACCGGATAAGACTATTATGCAGGGTGATCTCGCATTACACTTTAATCAAAATTGACAAAAACTGATGGCCTAAAATGCATGTATCCAAACGCATAGTTTTGGGGATATTTTGAAAGGTTTAAATTGTTGATGTAAGTCATTGGAGCTGCTTAAAAGCAAAGATGAAAAAATAAGAGTATATGGAGTGATAGTAAACAATAATTATTTAGAAGATTCATTTAATTTAAAAAAATCCTCCCGTAACAACCAAATTAGAATTATTTCATCCATCCCAAGGATCCCATCTATTAAATGAAAAAAATGCCGTGTTAACTAATTTCATTAAAAAGATATCTAGGTTTAACCTATTCTTTGTCACCATGAAACATGCTAAAAAAGACTGCTTGTAAATCATATCTGAATAACAAAGAAAAATATGTTACCCAATGGGCCATGATTAGAAACATTTATAGATATTTTTAAAATTAATTACTTCACAAATGCAGTGCTGCTCTAAACTTTAACAATTACATTTTCACTTAAAGTTACTGTATAGCATATTAAAATCAATACAGAAATTTCATCAGAATAAAAAAAATATGTAATCATCAAAGTTTAATTTGAAAAAAAAATCATTTTATATTATAATCCTTTCAAATATTAAAGGTATATTTAATTCAAAAGTAAATTTGAAGGTCCCCACGAGTGCCAAACAAGGTGAACAGAATATTAAGTAAATGTCAATCACGTTTCAGCATCCAATGATGGACCTTCATGTACTTGATTGACAGGGCTACCCAGACCAGGTATTTTCGAAGGCAAGCATCCAAAAAACAAATACTAATTTGGATTGAAATGACTGCTGTCAAAGTCTGCACCATCAACTCTAGTTCTTTTATATTGACCATGATTTATAATGATTTGATTTGGACAAAATTTTGTACATGACAAGCAAGGGATTGGATGGTGAGTGTTTGCAGGTAGTGTTACCAGAATGTCTTAGACCACAGGTAATGGAGTTTCATAATTATCAAGATCAACAAAATGAATTAGGCAGCTTGTATTGGTTATATAAGATTTTATATATCCAAGATATACAATTAGACTGACCTCACAAAGAAGGATTCACAGAATCACAGAACAAATAAAATCCTTTAAAGAACCATCTCTACACTGCACAGTAAAGTTCTGATTCTAAGGTATTTTTCTGCAGTTGGAGTGATCTCTCCTAGATCTAAATTCTAAAAAATAGAAATTTACAATATATTACTCAATTTGTAATTAATTTCAAGTATTCTTAACATTTAAAAGAGGCCAAGATAAAATAACTTAACGTGTTATTTACATGTATTTTCTCTATTGAAGTAATTAACAGTGATTTCTTTTTACTGCTACTGTCTTTGAACATTTTCCCCGGTGGTAAATGCCACGCACCATAGAGTGAAAATTGAATATATAAGCTCAATATTAACTCCTTTATACGATATATTTTCCTCAATGTCCCGAAAATTTGCACCTGTAGAGAGAGTCCTTCAGTTCACAGATGTTGTTCATAAACTATATATGCTTCAGAAAAGAAGTTCTCGCAATACCCTCCAAAAACCAAGCCGTATTTGTTACAAGATAATGTTCAAGAAGAAATGAAGGAATTCCGTGGTTAAAAAGATTCACACTTGTAAGAATATAGTGAGGAAGAAATCCTTCTGAGACGTATCCTTTTAACCTTTTAAGAATAGAGAGGAATCTAATGACAAGCCCCTCTTCCTTCCAATGGGTAGGATCAGGATAATCTTTGTATTCATTGAGAAGAAGGATTTTGATATGGTATGATTTAAAAGTTGGAGTAAAGCCGATCTTTTCTAAGAAATTTCCCCCATCTTGTCGTGCCAGACAGCGTCTGTGAATACTCTTATAAATGATCATCAGTTTCCGAAATGTGGCATGTGATTCAACTATTGTTTTAAGTAAGTCAGTTTCAAAACAAGAAAATGAAAGTCTCCATCCAAATCCTTTTGATTCGTCATTTTTTGCAACCAACTCTACTTGCATGTTGCGAAGTTTTTCGTATTCTGGATCTTTTAAAAAATAATTATATTTTTCTGCGCTAGGATTAACAACAATAATTGGGACAAGGTCAATTGATGCTTCATAGGAACCAGCAAATTGATCAACAAGTGTTGCAGCCACTGTACCTTTTCCTGTAAGGCCAGGGGAGACAGCCACTCCCGAAAGTGGAAGTGCACGCTCCACTAAATTGTAAAACATCTCTGAAAAACACTCCGGATTCATATATCCTTCAGGGTCCATACAATCTTTCCAGAGATCAATTGAACACCCAGACGGTCTGAATTTGACATATTCCAGGTTGCTTGTTTTCTCCAGGACGCCTTGTATTTGCACAGGAACAACGACATCACATTCATTAGTTAATAGTGCTGAAGTATCGCAAGCCCAACTTCCAACATATTTATAGTCAACACAAAATCTGGTATCTAATGTTTCTACGTGAGATAACGTGCTTTCTCCTGCAGATTTTACTATCTGAAAATTTGCCGCCGTTCGCGGATAATATCCATTCAAAATTTCATTTAAAGCATTAAAAATTTTCTGTTGCTCGTCCATCTTTGTAGTATAAAGGTAAACAATCCTTTTTTTAATTTCTAGTTCTGGTAAATCAAAAATGCTTTCCCGTTTGTGTTGTTGGAAATCTCATTAATAACAATCAGATCTATATACTAGCATCCAACGTTCTCCTTATTTCTCTACAGGTTAAATATTTAACTCAAAATGGATTGAAAAGTGCAGACTGTGATTGAAGGCACCGAACGATGTTTTAATAGCATTATTTATCCCAAAACAGGATACTACTCTGCGTATCTGTAATTTACAATTTACTTTGTATCAAAAGTAAGTGTTTATGTGTAAAGATCATTTTAGGATAGCAAAAACTATAAGATATATTAAAATAGAGTGCTTTTATTTCGTTGAAAACAGGAATTAAACATTAAATATGTAAATCAAATTGGCATGATTCATAGAGCATAACAATAATAAACGGGGTGTCACATTTTACCTTATTTTCTGATTGGGTAAATATAGGAATGTAGAGGACATATTTCTACCTTTTATATCGAATAAACAATTTTTAAGTACAAACAGTACATAAATAAAATATTGAAGTAACGAACTGTATTTATGCTCAAAGTCCATTTATAAAATTCAAATAAAGAGCAAAGTAAACACGGACCTCTAAAACATCAGAGGTGGGGTCAGGTGCAAAGGAGGAGTGATAATCTCTTGAAGACTGGTCACACCCAAAGTGTTTTGCATTCTGGTTAAAATCTGGCATTTACAATATTTTTCTATCTAGAATAAATAATTCATAATATTCAGACCTTGATATAAAGGAGAACTTCCAATTTTTTTTTTCACATAACATTTAATATATTAAGTTTCTGTAAAAAATATTTTGTTTAATTTCATTGCGCTTCTCTCTTTTTAAATAACTGACGACAATGAAATGAATTTTAATTTTCAGTTTTTGACTTCGAATTCAATTGTGGCAAATGAAACTTAAATGTGCATGCGTGGGACCATGGCTTTACTTTGTTTGACTTGGTTGTTTACTTACAAAATGTTGCACAGGACTGTAAATCGGCGAAAGTTATCATATGGACGAAATCAATGCCTTTTACCAGTGCGCAATAAATATTTAACTCGCATTAAATGAATGCTAAGAATATTGCAATTTCTACTAAAGTGGATAAAACTGAGTTCAAATAATAGTTAACGCAAAGGAAACTAATGCATATTAAAAAGTTTCACAGCTTTGCTTTTAATGATATATTTTGTACATCATGTCTTATACAAAGCAATGATGTACATTGACATTGTTTATCATAGCGTCTTTACTTATCTAAGTGACAAACTTAATCTTTACTATTCATCCAGGAAGAGAATAAACACTGATATCACACTATGGACATGTGACATGTGGCTTAATTTGTATCAACTAATACACAATAATTTCTCCAATGACACGGATCAGATTTAACTTTTGATAACACATCAAATTTAAATTTAAATCTCTGTGTGAACAAAGCATAAAAGTAGATCGGCAGCATTACACAAATCTTTTACTGATGCATCAGATAAAAATCAACTGTACATGTACGATATATGAAATAAGAAAAATTTCAACATACTATTTTTTTCAAATTCTTTAAATAAAATAAAAAAGGGATCTATAGATAACTGGGAAAAATTACTCTAATCAAATTGCACATTTGTCGCCTTTTCCAGGAACGAAACAGTATTTGTGACTAGTTCATGGCGAAGTAAAAATTTTGGAACCAGTGGTGCGTCATGCCGACAAAACAGATTTATTTCTGGCAACTTGTAGTGAGGAAAAAATCTCTTGGACACGTATCCTATCAACCTTTGTAGGATAGACAGAAATCGAACAGCAGTACAGTTTTCGGTCCAATAACATGGGTCTGGATATTCATCGTATTCCAGCAGTAGTAAGATTTTGAAGTGATACGATCTCAAAATTGATGTGCTGTTGTTACGATCTGGTGAAAATCTAGCTTCTTTGGGTGATAAATAATATCGACGGATTATCTTGTAAACCACAAGAAGTTTCTTAAATATTTCATGAGAGGAAGAAATCCTTTTAATCAAATCGGTCTCATAACAGGAGAACGATAGTCGCCATCCTAAAACATCTGATTCATTTAACTTTGCAGAGAGTTCCACCCCAATATCTTTTAAATGGTGATATGTTGGATCTCTAAAAAACAAATTAGATTTTCCACCATTTAGATGAGCCACGACGATCGGTACAAGATCAACTGAAGATTCATATGCAAAATCAAAGTAATAGACAATTGTTGCAGCAACTGTTTCTTCTCCTCGAAGGGACAGGTTGTACTTAACCTCTTTCTTTGTTGCACTTAGTGCCTGATCGACCAAATTATAAAAAGTTTTTGAAAACTTAGTAGGATCCATATATCCATGATTGTTGAGGCAATCTTTCCAGTTATCGGCCGATTCTCCTGTAGGCTTCAATCTAACGTATTCCTTGTTTGTGGAATTCTCCAGTGTGCCGTGTATTGAAACAGGTATAACAGCATCACACTCGTTGATAACAACTGCTGACGTTCCACATGCTAAGCTTCCGACGTCTATGCTGTCTACATTAAATCTGGTATCCAAGCTTTTGATTCTATCAAGAACATTGTTACCCACTGTTCTCACCATCTGCAGTAATGGAGTTGTTCTAGGTGGATTTCTAGAAAAGATTTCATTTACAGCATAAGAAATTCTCTGTCTTTCTGTAGCAGTCTTGTTTAGAAGGTCGAACATCTTATATGTGTATCACAAACTCCCTTTTTAGAAGTTTACTTAATAACAGGGTAATATCTCAGGGTAATATATTTCTTATTTAAGCTCCTATATGCATATGTTTGGCCAAGCAATAAACAAATAACCGATTTAATTCTGCTCGTCGCGACTTTGAGTCACGCTGTCTTATCAGATCTGCTGCTGCGGATTGCGACCTCATGGCGTTTTGAGAGGTTTCCTCATCTGATCTTGTTTACATGCTATTTTTGGCAAAGCATTCCATGGATAGGGAGAGGTGGAGAAGATTGCAAAGAATAGAGAGGAATGGAAATCACTAGTCCTTGCCCTATGTGCCTCCGGGTGCAACAAGGACTAGGTAGGTAGGTAGGTATTCCATGGATATGTTACGGAAGTCAAGAAATATGTGTTTTCACATATAGGGTGCTTTTTAAATAGGAATATCAGAAACAAATTCAGTATTTCATGTACAGATCATTTTCCGTAAATTTTCTTAAGAAGAGTATTAAGACTATTTTAGCAATGCTTGACATGAGAAAATGTATCTTACAGAAATCGAAATAAAATTGAATAGTTTTATACCAATACAACCTTGATGCAGAGCTAACCACGAAAAAAAAACCCTGAATCCCTCTCTTACAACACAAATTTGCGTTAAAAACTTTTTTTTAACCAAACATCCAATAATTATTTTTATATTTGAAGGTATTATAGAATTTATTTATAAAATATTTGGAGTACAAGGGACAAAACGCTACAAGATTTCTATCTGTCGGGTTCTGTATTTCAACATGTGTGTCACTTTAAAAGCTCATATTTATTATCTTAGTTTTTTTAATTGAATTTCAATCCAACAAATCAAAATAATAAATTATCAATATTAATCAAATCGAAGTAAAGAAATATTCTAAATACCGTTATCTTAGGTCAGGGTAATAAAAAAAAGAAACAAAATAAAACTAATAAACTTGTGTTTAACACTTTAAGCTGAATTAAGCTAAGTATAATGAATATATTTTTTACTCTTGACTAAGGGTCAAGGTCAAATATCAAAGTCAAAATCAAGGTCATTAAAGAAAGGTCAGAAGTCAAAAGATCTCATGCATTGTCCCCATGTATTTAGGACCTGTTGTTAAGAAGTTTAAGTTCTTCATAAACATCATAAACTGTCAGGGGCAGTAAGTACTTAAAATGGTTTATGAATTCTTTAACTCTGAAAAAAATTAAAGCGTGCTAAATTAGTCACAGACATTGTTGGAGGTTTTGTACCTCAACGGTTTACGGAGGAGTAGTGATAATAAAGGTTTACATTGAAAGGGGGTACTAACTTTTAGAAGGATAGATATTAGGGGACAAGAATAAAATCTTTCAAATGGTTTTAAGATTTTTAGATTCTGGTGAAGAACAAAAAAGCTATAAAATGACCTTCAAGGGTTGAAATGACTGAAATCTTTGAGACAGTTTTAAAAGTACATACTAATGATGCAAAGACAGACTGTATATGTTGAAGACAAAAGAGATAAAAAATAGTTTCATTTCACATTTTTGGAATGACCTTGTCCGTTGCATAATTTTAAAGGTCAAAGGTCAATGAATCTTATGCCATCAGTCCCATGCCTCTACGACGTCTCGTTTTTAAAATTGTTATTTTTTGTAAACTTAAAAAATTTCAGGGGCATAAACTCATGAAAGAGTGAAGAGTATTATAATGTAATCAAAGGCATTTGTGAAAGTTTTGAACTGCGGTTTATTGTTAAGGAAGAGTAGTGATAACAAGCTTTACGGTGAAAGGGGCAATAATTGCGAAACGGTTTAAAGTTAAAACTCCTTGGGTCTTTTTTCGGAATAACTTTGAATATCCAATATCATGAACAATAAAGTTTTTCGATAAGTCTTGCGGTTTCAAAAGTCAAGGTGAGAAAAAAAAGCAGACTAATTGTTCTCTAACAATTAGAGGTCTTTCCACCTTATTTAATTTATTAAAATTGTTATTTTTTTTTACTATATAAAGTTAATTTGTATGCAAAAAGATTTCAGAAATAGCTTGTAAAATAGACATTTTGAAAAATAAAATAACATTGAAATTTGGCCTTGACAAAATTTTCAAGGTCAAAAATGTCAAGGTTCCCTTTGCAGTTGACCCCATGCCTCTAGGACTTATACTTTTAAAGATATAAGGGTTAATAGCAAGCGTATAGAAGTTAAAGGGCGATAACTTATATAAAGAGTCATCAGATCCCTTTGTTCTGAATAGATTCTGTCACCAGACCCTGAAGACTTTAGTGAAGGTTTCGTGTCTCTATGTTGTACGGTTTCAAAGAAAGTATCGATAATAAGTTTTTTTGCACAAGGGGCAATAACTTTTAAAAGGGTCATTCTCTGGGGACAAGAATGAAATCTTTGAAACAGTTTTAAAAGTACATACTAATTATGCAAAGAAGATTGTATATGTTGAAGGACAAAAGAGATATAAAAAGCTTATTTTCTCATTTTTGGAATGACTTCGACCTTTGACCTTTGCATAATTTTAAAAATCAAAAGGT